CTGTATATAGGTGTCTAATGTTAAAAAAAACATGCCTGGGTCCTCACGTTGACAATAATGTGATGTGAGTTGAATGCATTTTCTTCTGTGCTTGATACAGTGTGATTAAAATTGCTTTACTTCTATTAGGCAGGGGAACATCTTTATCATACACCTAATGATGCAGTATGGAGCTGATTTGCGCCTCATAGACCTGCAGCAAAAGACATCACTGCATCATGCAGTCTCTGGAGGCAGCATGTGAGTAGAGGAAACAAGTCACACTTAGTGGTTTTTGTCTGCTTCATAGTCATCATGCTCTAACTGTTGGTTATCTTTCCCAGTGTTGCAGTGCAATTTTTGTTGGAGACAGGAATGTTCCGATTCTCAGACACAGACATGTACCATGTGACGCCCCTTCACCTGGCTTCATCCACAGGCAACACAGAGCTGGTCCGTTATTTGCTCAGAGACCAGGTATGCTATAGTCTTTGCATTATCACTAACCTACATGCTTCATTCAACAAACGATAAAACTCAGTCTTACATTTTTAAAGCTATATTTACAATATATATCTGTTTAACTCAGTCACATAAAGAGGATTTGGAAGGGTAGCTATTTCTGTGTCACCCACTGATGATTACCATGCAACAATGTACTGTGACTTTACTCAAATGTTAGCTGCTTTTAGTCTATTTTTGCTCATTATTTTGGTCTTCAATCCCACACATTTACAGTACGATCAACATTTACAATGACAAAATATACATCAATTTTTTCTGCAGATGCTTTTGTGAATGTGGGTCAAGAGCAGATTTACTATAGCAACTGTGCAGCCCAACCCTCTGTTTGTGTCTCAGAGGTGTGCTGTGGATGCAGTTGACCAGCAGGGAGCGACAGCACTCCATGTTGCAGCAGAGCATGGCGGTGTGGAGGTGTGTTGGACACTAATGCAGAGATCCGGTTGCTGGATGCTCCATCTGAAGAACAACAGCGGCCTCACACCACTGGATCTCAGCAGACAGGGGAAAACATTTAGGTGAGCCTGCTGTCTCTAGAAATCTCTGCAAAATCACTGACTACCTGCCAACCACTGCATGCGATAGTTACACTCCTCAGTACCGCAGTAGATCTCCAGTATGTTCGCATTTCGTGATGATTTCTTTCTCCTGGGATCCTGATTTTGATTCATGTATTGCTTTTCTCTAGACATCAGCAACTCAACAAGCTACTCATTCGGTACATGAGGGAGCCAAAATACCACAAGCCCAAAGAGTCCAATGGTGAATATTAATGTGTACATTTGATCATGCATTTAGCAATGAAAACCAGGATGCTGACTATGATGATGCTAATAATGGCACTGTAACATGGGCTGTGTGTGTATTTATGTGTTGTTGTTTTTGTTTCTTCTCTCACCAGCTTTGTATTGCTGGACACTGTCATTTCCAACCCTAAGTGGAGCTACCATCCTGATAATAGCGACTGTGTTGCGAGGCTATGGGGGGATAACATGCACATTGCTCTTCCCCTGGCTGGCCAGAAGCATCTTCACACAGTTCCACCGCATGACCACATACCAAAGGTTTGACAAAACTTTTAATTATAAAATATGAATCACGAAGTATACATATTCTTTGTTATATCTCCATCTGTTTTTCTTCTAGGCTAGCTAACCCGGTCTACCTGGGAACACTCATAGCTGGCTTGATTCATTCCCTTGTCTGCTTCTATGGAAGAATAATGCCTAATATCCTTAACAAATGTTTCAAGTTGAGTCTCATGCCTATTTATATTTGTGTTATTTCTTGTCCTGCTAGAAGTATGACAAAACGTTCTCAATGGTGGTTGGGATGCAGTTCTGTCTTGTGTGCTTTTAGCTTTAAAATGTCGTCCTTAATTTAAAAATTCCTGCAGGATAAATATTATGGTGCCAACATTGTGACCAACATTTAGTTCTACATATTTTTATTTTGGACAAGCTTTATTAGGAAATCTGTCAACATGATAGTACCCTCCTAGTTTTCTAGCTTTCCAAAACATATACAATGTAATCAAGGATTTTGCATAATAAAAGTGTTCATCCTTAACCTTTTGAATGTGTGTGGCCGACCAGTAATCTGGTCAACCTGTCAATGGTGCACTTCTCCCTTGTCCTGGGTTTGTTCTGTAAGATCCTGACTCAGGACCCTGGAACACTGGAAAGAGCAGACGCAGATACTCGGTTCTCCTGTATCGCTGACCTGGTGGAGAACAACGAGAGCCCTCACAGGTTCTGTCCATACTGTGAGGTAAGACATTCACACTGGTCATAGATCAGGGAGAGCCATGATATATTGCCTATGCCCCAATATGTATCTATGCATGTAGTTATACGTTTCAGTCTAGATCAAAAATATGTAACGGTTTTGAGGTCAACAGAGACTTAAAAGCAGAGACAGACACAAAGTGAAGTCAAAAAAGATCTTTACTGTAGAACCAGGAAGTAATATCCAGGCGGTCAGCCCAAACCATGTTGATAAGTCCAGACAGGGAGTAGACACAATATCAAAAAACAGATAATAAGTCAAAAAATTCAGATTTTGACCATCCTGGCCAGAGTTACAGGGGGGCAACCTAATCCAGCTGCAATAACCCCAGCTAATGATAGGAGGATAGTCAAGGACATTGGACATACCACAGCAGGAACTAAAGCAAAACGAGTGGTTTGTCTTTCAAAATAAAACAGGAAATACAATATGCAGAGACAGCAGGATGTTACAGAAATGTACACCAAGCACGTCTTGCCTTGGTGTGTTTCTCCAAACAGCTCAGATGTCTTAATTCAATAATGATGTGACTTTGGGGCTTTGGGCTTCGTAATTAAATGGGATACAACGTGTATGGTCATTAGTTCTCTGCCAATTGATTTCCATAACAATAATATACAACATTTGTCTGAAATGTTGGAATGAAGCACAAATCTGTGCCATGCTTTTTAAAAAGGTTTCTGATAAAGTTTAGGGTGCAACATTCTCTAGAGATGAAGGTCTACATCATATAATAACTATGTTTCTCTCCCCTCCCCACCCTGTCTTTCCTCTCCTTGTACTGTAGTTATTCCAGCCTGACTACACTAAACACTGCAAGCTGTGTGACGTGTGCATCACAGACTACGACCACCACTGCCTGTTCCTCAACCGCTGCATCGGCCGTGGTAACCACCGCCTCTTCGTCTTATTCATCCTCTCCATGTTGATGGCCCACCTTCTTTTTGTTTCCACGGCAACAAGTTACCTGTATGAAATGAAGTACGACGGCTTCCACCTCTGGTCATCGTGGTTTACATTGTTAGGGGATGAGTTCTGGGTCGTGTCCCTGATGGTTATGAATGCAGTGACGCTGCTTTGGGAGGTATGGCTACTCATAGAGCAGTTTGATGCTGTTTCCTCTGGAACAACTACCTACTTTGGACAGAGTGAAAGCTCAGTAAAACAGCGGTCACTAGCGCAGCGCTGGCCTATAGTGCTGTCGTTTCTGCTGGAGGGTCGAAGACGGGTGGGAAGCGGACTAATGAGAGAGGACAAAACTTCCATAGACATTTAAAACTGTCAGTTTGTACTGTGCTATCTCATTACATCGCTCACTTGCTTCTGAGTTTACAGCGTCACTTGTGCGCATTCAACCTTGATAATGTCCTCTTTAGAATAAATGGCTCCGTAATGCCATATCATGTTGTACTTGAATGTAAAACAAGCTTATATCACAATGATCTATTTAAATTCACAAAAGGCTTTAGAGTAGATTTGTTGGCAGGTTTGTCCTTAAAGTGGATAACTAGCCCTTAGAGTTTAGATGTTCACCTAGTTTTAGAGACCTCACTGAATACTTTTAAGATAACAATTAACTTGTTGGTTTACATTGTACTGTGAAAACTGCATACTTCCGAAACTGTGTTTTAGCAGGGAACGCCTCAGAATGAATGATTGTTATGTTATGTTGAATAAAATTGCCCAATGGTGTAAAGCATCATTCACAGGTCTCATAACATTAGCAGGTCCTGTGATTAGCTAGTGATAATGGTTAATATCAGGGGCACTGTTAGACTTTGTTCCTCACATAATGTCATTACCTCTCTGACCTGCTCCCAGTCATCTGAGCCATGACACTTCCTCTGCTCTCACTGATGAGATCTTTTCATGCTTTCAATTAAACACACTCATTTCCTTTGTGTCCCTCAGGACCCTATATCAAGATTATAGATGATGTTCGCCACACCCCTCAGAGGCTGGTGTGTCTGGACTTTGTGAGTGGCTACATCACACAAAATTATTTAGTGTCTGCTGTAGTGAGTGCATGTAAGCCTGTGAGTGCTTTTACCGGATCAGTGTTATTGTATTGTATAACTGGCTGCCACTTGTTAATATACCAATACATTTTATATGTTCTAACATAATGTATCTGTGGTTTCACAGTTTCTTTTGATTTCCTGAAACCTCATTTGTGCCATGACGGTTTTTTATGGTGTATGAAAAGATATGCTTGATTAAATACATCACGAATATCTGCCATTAAAAACATAAAAAAAAAAAAATGATTGTCTTTTATTTCATGTGAATAGTAAAAGTCTTCATAAGATACTTTCAGATACTTTGTCTACTCCTCAGTCGATTAGTAATAAAGTAGTGCATCATATCATATAAGCTTAACACATTTCCTTTGTTAAACATAAATAAATTAAGGTAGTGAAGGAAAAGTACAAGGAAAAGTTGAAATAGTTCAGTTCAAGTATGTCAAAAAAGTTGACAGCCTGAGTTAATGTACTTAGATACTTTAATTGACTTTTCCACATCAAATCCCTATCAGACAGAGCATTGAATTTCACTGTGTTGCCTGAAAAATGGACGGTATCAACATCTGAAGGAGAAACTCATAATATTGTTTAAACAGAAGTCAGCAGTTTTCACTTCTCCATCAAGGCAGCTCACTTCCCTGGTGAGAGACGGATTGGTAAATCCAGAAGAGGAGGACAGTGGGAGAACATCGCACAGCTGTGTTTTATTTCTCTATAAAGCAGTACCTACCACAGCAGCTGCTCGGGACTGAGTGAGCCTTTCGTGTGCAGCACAGAGGGTCTGGCTCCAGATTCTGAGTCGTCTGGTCTGCCAATCCGAGATGACATGGCAAGTAATGCTACCATGACTGTCTTTATTTCCTTCCTTCTTTAAGAGTCTGTTCACATCAGCATATTTCAGGCGTGCGTCATTGTTGTGTTACTAATGGCAGCCATAGTGGCCCCTTCTCTTTGGGTTTGTGAATGTCATATGATTTGATTCTTAGTGATTATCAAATAAGCAGAGGACTGAGATGTCAGTATTGCCATTGTTCAGACCCTGAGTGTGTCTGTGTGTGTTGTTGAGGCTAGAAATGGCCCCAGTGGAGAGGGATACACTTTGCAGCGGGTTCACTGCCATGAAACCATCCAGGACTCCTTCGACCATCGGCAAACCAAAGGAATGGGCAGGTAAAGTTCTTTTTAAGTTTGTTTTGAAACAATTATAATGTGTCAAGCAAGGTGGCCATCAATTGTGTTGCTTTTGATCCCACTTTCTGAGCTCTAATAAACATGTATGCTATAATTGTATGCTATATATTGGTCTCTACAACATTGCTGTATATCTATCTGTCAGGGTACGAGCTCTTTAAATTCTGAAAATGTAAAGAATTACTTTCCCAAAGTTATGTCCTGCTACTTGCGTACGCTACTCCTTTATAAAGCCTTTATCATGAGGTGTATGACCATGACTATTTGTCATTGATGGTTATGTGCAAGCTGAGTAGGTTATTTTTTCTGATGAGAAAGCTCAGTCAGCAGTGTCCACGTACTGCATTTTTTAATTCTCATCCAGCCTTTTGAACTGCAGCATTCATCTGCTTTAACACATCCGCTGCAACCCTTTCAGGCTGAATAGGAACAAGAACATCACACCCTTGAGTGCTGTGGCTTTCATCGCACAGATTGCTGAGTGACTGAGTAGTGTGGCATTTCCCCTCAGACAATAAATCTTAGCCCGAATGAGTCGGGATACTAAATATGAACAGTGGAGTTTTGTCAGTTTTAAGCATACCATATGTATCAAACATCTGCCATGGATTATTGGTACTGACAATACCAAGACTTGGACACTTACTCTGCATCAAACATTTAGTGGTATAAATGGTGTCAGTAAATCAAATGTATTGATCAGAGGTTGTACTTCAGGTACAGAAGAGACCATAATCAAATCTTCATGAGCAAACAGCTGAAGGGATGGTGGAGACTGTGGAGCGATGTGGGAGCCAATGTAAATAAATGGGTGACAAGACAGAGGACATACAGCCAGACATATTTATAGACGGTGAGAAATTGATATGGAGAGTGTGCAGCAGAAGGCAGAGAGACGGATAGCTGAGGAGAGGGAGCGAGAGAGGGAGAGTGGGCAGGGCTCTAGGTATGTGAGAACAACAGTACGCCGGCCAGTGGGACAGACAGGGGGAGTGAGAAGAAAGAAAGGAGGGGAGGAAGTGGAGATTGTGTGGTTAAGTGCTTGGAAGTGTGTGTGTGTGTGTGTGTGTGTGTGTGTGTGTGTGTGTGTGTGTGTGTGTGTGTGTGTGTGTGTGTGTGTGTGTGTGTGTGTGTGTGTGTGATGGGGAGGAGAAATGGCTTTTCGTTCTCCTTCATGAACACAGTTGGAGATTGCAGCCGCTTCAGTTTTCTTGCCACGTTTTGTGCACTTGCCATCTCTAATTTGCTGTAATGGTATCCTCCTTTGATTAGATTCCCAGCTCTGCTCTCTGCTCTGCTCTGACCCTTTTATGCAGCATCACAGAGCATCACAGCGCTGGATCTGCACTTAAGCTTAGATACTAGAGCAGAATCCTGAAGCAATCATAGACTCTTACAGGAAGTTGTTTGTAAACCATTAAATCCTTTTCCTCATGATATCCTTAGAGAGACCCTGTTCAAACTGATACAACACCAAGTTCATTGTAAATATTGAAAAATATTATTCTGGTCTCATTTATATGTTAGTTAAAAACATTAGGATCTGTGTTGGAAACTATATGTAATGATCTAACTACTTGTTAAAGTCTAATAAGATTAATTATACCAATTAATTACGTAATTAATTTTCTGGTAGTAAGAAAGCATTTGGATTGAATATTCAAAAGTTAATACCAATGTACCATCGTATCTCAATTCAAGCAGAGTACATTTGTAAGGTACTACACTGAAGGCCATCTGTGTTATTACATTTCAGAGGTATAAACAGCTTTTTTCTATGCATTTGACATCTTTACGATATAAGAAGTGTATAATCAAAACTATAATGATCTGAAATTGGGAAGCAGTGTAATTGATTTAATTGCCCAACAGTAAATAAAGTAGTTTAATTTTTCTCCACTTCAGATATACATTACAGCAAAATGCTACAGTAATGTATCCTTAATAATTCATGTGATATAATGTAACACTGACTGGGCCCTTTTTTCTGCTGTAAAATAATAATGAGTATTCACTTTTGATATTGCAGTGGTGGAATGTCACAAAGCACATTTAGTTAGTGTAGACAATGTACATAACTTAAGTATTCCAATGTTATGCTTTACTTCATACTACTACTACTACTACTACTACTACTACTACTACTACTACTACTACTACTACTACTACTACTAGGCCTACTACTACTACTATAATTACTACTACTATTACATTACAATTCAAAGATAAATATTTACTCCAGTGGATTTATTTGGTTAAGATTTGTACTAACATATGATTTTCCTTTTTTAAATATTATGCACTGTTACAGATTAACCTACCCAAAGTATATAACTTAGTTCAAATCAGCTGTACCTCAGCCAACAGTATTATATAGCCAACACATTCATTCGTCAGTAGCTAACAGCTATAAGCTTATTACTGTGAAACACCAATAGGAGCAATTTTCTTACATTTTTACATTTTTTCAAATGTTTTTTGGCACTTTGACTTGTCATTGAGTATCATTGTATTGTGATATGGTAAGAGTTAGTAAAGGATTCCTTTGATGTAATGCACTTTAATTAAACAGTACATCAATTAAAGATAACAGTTTGATCATTGTACAACCAATAATCTTTAGCTGACAGTAAACTAAAAAATAAGTTCCTCTCTCAGGTGTTGTTCCTCTTAAAGATTAACAGTATATGACCACATCTTGCCACATTAGTCGATCCTGCTGCGCCTACTCCTGCTGTCATACAGTCTTATTAATGACTGTTTCACGTGGTCTCTTTCCAGCAATCATGACTCTGGAAATTAAGGACATTCAGAAAGGAGAGACATAAAATGGAGAAACCAGACATAGAGCTTTAGCTGATAAGCAGAGAGAGAGATGAAACAGGAGAAAGATTTGAGTCGAGGCCCTTGCAGATACCTTCCCTGCTGTCCTCAGCAGAAAGCAAGATGCAATTAACAAGAAAAAATAAGTCATTGATTTTACTCTCCTCTCCTCCTGCCTTGTGTTTATCTCTCTCCCTCCCCATGACTCCCCAGGGATCACTCCACTGTCACTGTTTATTCTCTATACATTTAGCACCTATATGCTAACATATAATCCATGCTTATAATCATTCTGTAGCAGTTAAAGCGCAGCCTGATCCAAACAAAACTCCTCTCCATACCGCAGTGGAAATGATATATTAATAATATCTGAAACACATGATGAAATGTAATGGAATAGACGAATGGATTTCATCTTAAAGCAGGATGTATTCACTGCAAAATGGAGGCCATGCCCCTGTAGATTGACTTAAGAGGAAATCTGGATGCATGGTAAAGCCTGTGGGCTTAGCTGTATCCAAGAGAGACTTCTCTGAATAATGATCCAGGATTGTCAACGGGTGAATTATTTTAGAATAATATCAAAACAAACAAAGAAACTATCTTTATCTTTATTTCTCTCTGTCTCCTTCTCTTTCTGATGCTGGTAATCCTTCACACTCTCCTTTCTGTCTCTTTATCTCTATGTGTGTGTCCATGCAGCGCGGTCTAAGAGCATGGTGCTTGGAGAGTTATCTCGGATCTCCAGGCCCTGCTCTCCTCTGGATCAGGAGAAAACACTGAAGGCAGGATGGCTAAAGAGACAGCGGAGCATCATGAAAAACTGGCAGCTGCGTTGGTTTGTCCTGAGGAACGAAGCTCTGTATTTCTACAAGGACCAGGATGAAACCAAGGCACAGGTGACACTCACTAAATAACACATTCACAAGACAGTTACCTGTTGACACCTGTTTTCCTAAGAGGCTGCACTGCCTTGTGTTTCTAATCATATTGGTTAGAAGCGTGATGCATATTCAAGCTTCATGAATTTATCTGATTATTTCCCCAAGGAAGTTTGTGTTCCCTGACTCTGAAAATAGCTTATTGATTCTTTTAAAGCAGGCGACAAAATACATGTTGTAGCCTTCAAGTAAAAGGAAGGAGTTTTCTGCATTATGCATCACTGAGTTTAAAAGCTATGCTCTAATCGGTATATGTGTTGGTGCTGTATACTATAGTTGGAGAAACATTCATTCAAACCCTTAAGACCCTCCACACTCTCCATTAAAGTCATAGTATGTTGTGATTGCCCTGACACACACTGATAATGTGGTAACAAGCTGCCCTGTGGTTCTGCTATTAGCACTTAGTAAGTGACCATTGACCCCCTACAGTATATGCTGGAAGGATGCACAGTACAGGAAGCAGCAGAGGGATAAATAGATGAAGAGATGTTTCCCTGAGTCATCCCTCCCTCCATCATCATTACATCCCTCTTTTGGACGGATGCCCAGAGCTCAGTGTATTCAGAACTCTACAATGTTTGACATGCACTTCACGTCTAAGTCCAGAACCACTCATCTATATCCTGTTTGGCCCACGAGTTCTGTTGATACAGGTGTTTTCCTCCTGCCTGCCCATCTGTCAGTCTGTCTTTCTCTCTGCCTCTCTCACACCTTTCTCTCCTTTCTCCTGCAGGGTTGTATTCCTCTTCAGTGCAGTCAGGTCAATGAGCTCCCTGCCAATCAGGACGAGCCCGGTCGCCACCCTTTTGAAATTGTTCCAGGTGAGTTGGCATGGTGACAACTCTGCTTGTAAGGAAGTGCGTGAGTCTTGTTCAAGTTACTCTACACCTTTTGTTAAAGGGCCATACAAACACTTTTTTGTTTTGTTAAAATTGTGTGTTATAAAGCACATCTTATATATGTTATACATCTCCCACCAGTACAAAAACTTGAACACATTTTGAGTTTTCAGTGTTTATAATGTGATAAGTCCCCAAATACTTCAACATCAGGGCATTTCCACAACCACTAGAACATTATCTCAATACCAAGTGTTCCGTTAATCGCAGGAAGTATGTCTCAGTGTTGCTCGAAATTGGGATCATGCTGTAAATACAGCATGCCATATCCTCTGAGTAAACTGTGTTGGCCCCGAATCAAAGTGATGGATGGAAAATAGAAGTAAATCAATATAAGTCACAAGCTGCATAACATTTGCAAAACAGCAGAAAAGATGTGATTTTCATGTGTCCCAAGGATTCAACAACAGCTTAATTCATCTCTGCTCTTGACAGTGCGGGGTTGGCATGATTACCCTCAGAACCATGTACAGTATGTATCAGAAAGATCAAAGGCCAGAGAAAGAAAGAAAGAATGTTGTACTTGGATGGAGATGTTAAGATTTAAAAGATATGAGCCTTTTTGCATAAATACTGGCTTTAATAGTAGTTTCTCTGTCTGTCATGGAAAAGCGTCTACGGTTATATCAACAGAGGTTCACCTGAAAGCATCCGTTCTTTTAAGGGCTCAACATGGGCCGTTACCAGGTTTACTTACACCATGAGGATGGGATTTCCATTTAAAATGGTAGGAAGTATTAGCTTGGAGGCTTGGTTAATGCATTGTAGAAACACTGTAACACCACTGTATTGAGGTACTTTTGAAAGCCAATTGAAATGATGAAAGTATTGCATAAATCTCCCTCTATGGCTTTACCTTACACATTACCTGGGTTTAGAAATACATGAATGTCAGCAGATTTAGCAGCTACTGCAGTGCTGCATAGTGGCACTGCCTATAATAATTGGCTGTTGCAGTTATTGTTTTTGATTATATATGTGGCTTTTTTGTGAGTGTGCATGTTTGTGTGCGTCTTCACACAAACTGTAAATGTAAATGGGGTAAAATGATGAAATACACTGATGTTACAGCTGAAAATATGCTGAGGTAAAGGATCTGGATGGAAGGAGAAAAGAAAAAGAGGCATGGTGCATTTGCTGCTGTCCACAGGGAACACTGCTCTTTCTGGGTCATTTCTCACACACACACAACACACCATGCAGGAGAGTGAAGGACTTAGTAATGAATGTAGGTTTTGATATATGCCCTACAGAGTAACCCCTACCAAATACACAAATGTCCTTATCTTTTGGAAAGTGGTCATAAGGTTTTCATCAGTACAAACAAAGTATAGCATAGTTTTTTAAATATCTTCATCTGTGCTTCCACCTCTTCCCAAAACCCCATAAAGGGAGAGGATTTCACATATCCCTATTAAAGCTAAACTGAAATACACTAAAATGTCAAACCCAAATGTCCATCTGGGTAATGTCAAGCTGTGGACAGCCAGAGGCGGTGAGGCAGAGCTGCATGGCTGCGTCTTTGTACTTGACAGGGGTGCTGGAGCTAATAAGGTTATTGAAAATACTGATAGTTCTAGTTGGGAGAATTGACTTTTTTACAGATGATTCACTTGTGAACCGCAAAGTATATTTAAATGTGGTTTTGTGTATGAAACCACACAGCACGAAGGCTTTGAGTTGTCGTTCTGTCCTATTGATCCAGAAAGTAATGAAATATGTCTGTGTTTTCAGGGGGGGCTGGAGAAAAGGATCGAACAGGAGTAAGCCACGAATCATTCCTGCTGATGGCCAACTCCCAGAGTGACATGGAGGATTGGGTCAGGGCCATACGTAGAGTCATATGGGCTCCACTTGGAGGAGGTGTGTTCTTAAAACGTATCCAGATTATTTTCTTAAAGTACCAATAAAGCAATGTATAACATCAGAATTCCAAAATCTTGGAAAGCCACAAGTCTTTTACAATGAGTTGTATTTTAAAAGCTGTCAAATAAATGTGGTGGAATCGGATAAAAGAACAAGTAAAATATTCCATCCATAAAATAGCATAACATGGATACTTAAGTAATCTTCAATAACCTCATAATTGTACCTAGAGTACTAAATGTTCTCCCTACAGCAACGGCATACACACAAAAACACATGTCCACATACAACACTTACTTACAATAATAATGCAAATCAACTATTAATGCTTTAAAGACTGGACTTCTTGGGTACACCTAAGAGAACCTTCTGAGCGGTTAATGATTGGTGTTCATTTGCTGTGTGGCTGCAGGTGTCTTCGGGCAGCACCTAGAGGAGACAATGTTATACGAGGCTCAGTGTGGGGCGCAGCGACCGGTCCCTTTGCTGGTGGAACAGTGTGCGTGTTTCATACGTGAACATGGGCTCAAAGAGGAGGGCCTTTTCAGGGCCCCCGGACAGACCAATCATGTTCGAGAGCTGCAGGATGCCTTCGACCGTGGCGAGAAGCCAGTGTTTGACAGGTGATGCAGTGGGAGAGGGCATTTTATATACAGCTGAATGCCAATTTATAATCCATGCTGGAAAGAATTCGTTAATCTATGTCCCCTCTCTCTGTGTTTTACAGTACCACAGATGTCCACACAGTGGCATCACTGCTAAAGCTGTACATACGGGAGCTTCCGGAGCCTATAATCCCATTCCCGAAATACACACAGTTTCTATCTTGTGCTCAGATTCTTACCAAGGACAAAGCAATGGTAGTTACATGTCTACTTAACAATTTATTGCTTGATTTCCAAACTGTTGCCTTGGCATTAAACTTGACTTATGTATGTTTAAGGGTATCATAGAGCTTGGCAAACAAGTGAAATCCCTTCCCCAGGTCAACTACAACCTCCTTACATACATCTGCAAGTAAGTCAATACTGTCTTGTTGTCTGATATCAGTAGCTGTTAAAGGAATACTTCACCCCTTACATGACCATTTTTATATCAATAATTTATGCAGTGTTACCTTCATTTATTTTTTTAAATATTCCACTATGACCAAAGATACTAAAACTGGAGAAAATTCATAATGAACTGAAGTAAACGAGGGCTTGTGTGTTTTAAAAGTATGATTTTAGTTCAAATGATTTTGTGAGGTAGCAATCGTGGATACAATTCTACTCGAGCATGTTCTCAATGTTGGTTTCTGTCACTGTGGAAGCATGCTAGAAAAACAAAGTCTTACAAGTACAAGGTAACACAGGGTGAGCTAATAATGTACAAATGGTAAGGTTGGCGGCAGTGTATTCCTCAGTGATGTGACTATGAAGTGTTTTGTTCCTGCTGCTATGTCCTTTTCACTGTTTGATTGAAGATGTGTCAGTCTGTCATACAAAAGAAATGTCATTCATTACACCCACATCCTCGTCATCAGCGGAAGTGGCATCATTGATTGACTCTGAGTGTGAATAATTTCCTGTCTTCTCTGCCTTCTGCACATATTTAAATACCATCAGCTAAACCCACACACCAGCCAGAGTCAGGACTCAGTCCTCCTTTTCCTCAGTTTCCTTTTTTCTAGAAAGAAAGAATGAGTGGTTTATTGATGTGGCATGATCTTTTTAATAAGTTCTGGTTCTTCCTGGTTTAGGTTTCTGGATGAGGTTCAATCTCACTCCAATGAGAATAAGATGAGTGTTCAGAATCTGGCCACTGTGTTTGGACCCAATATCCTTCGGCCCAGAGTGGAGGATCCAGTTACCATGATGGAGGGTTGGTGATAATGCCAATACATGTTTACCTGCAGCTTGTGACACTAGCTTGCTTCACAATCAATATTTATAATGTCATGAACAATGTCAAGCAAGTGTGTAATTTGTCATTGTAAACAGGAAGTTCCCAGGTGCAGCACCTCATGACTGTGCTGATAAGTGAATACACACAACTTTACCAAAGGGAGCAGCCGGAAACTGAGGCCAAGATTCCCCCAAAGCCTCAGCAGAGTCCAACACAACGGGGCAAAGCAGAATGGCTCTCACAACAAAACAATGACCCCCCATCTTCCAAAGCCCCTGAAGAGGAACACCGATCTTCCACCCCTTCAACAGAAAGTAAGCCAACTGCACCAAGCCCAATTACATCAGAAAAGGTTGTGGATGGTCAGATTGAAGAAAAGACAAAGGGTGAGACAGAAGTGAAAGGGGATGAAAAATCAGATGGCAAAACTGAAGGGAAAGGTGAAAATGAAGTAGCTATGAGCCCCAGTAAACAGTCTAAAGCCCTGCCCACGTGGAGGTGCTCCCTCAAAGGGGGGACAGCATCTGGGGTGCAAAGGGGGAAAATAGGGGGGTCTGCAGGGGATGTGTCAGTAGCTGGTGGGAGCAACTGGCTGATGAATGGCCTGTCGTCCCTCCGAGTTCACAGGCGCACCACCTCATCTGGTGAAAGACTCAAAGACACCCTGAAGGACTCAACCCTCTCACTGAAAGAGACCACTCTCCCTCTTAAGGACACACAGAGAGACTCTGATGAAGACTGCCTTCAGACACCCCTGTCTCACAGAGGCCTCCACCAATCCCACAGACTGTCTGCCTATGACAATGTTGCCCCCTCCAGTCTGAGCCTGCCTGCTGACACCTCAATCTGGACGTCCTTTGAGATCTCATTGGCCGAGCCAAAGGGAAGCGAAAAAGCAGTAATACTAGAACAGGGTAAAGAGAGCCCTACAGAGGTGAAGGACAGTACAAGTACTCTGGATAACACTGCAAGCGGCACTGAGGATGATATTACAGGAACAAATGAAGGTCTCGCCAACATGCTAACTGACCTCAAGCAGGAGCTGAAGAAACAGAGGACGAGCTACGAAACCTGCATTCGAAAGTAAGTATAAATCACTGATATTTTATTTTAAAAATAAACCAGCAATATTTTTTTATTTATGACTTCTTCTTTTTCTTCTCCTCTTCTTTGAGGTTGGAGGAGTCTTGTTCTAAGTACCAGTCCCGAGTCAACCGCCTCGAGGAGGAGCTGGACCAGGAGAAGAAGAAGTTTCAAATGCTTGAGATCCGACTCAGGAACTCGGAGAGGGCACACCAAGACGCAGAGAACCGAAACAACCTCCTGCAGAAAGAGATGGAGGAGTTCTTCAAAACCCTTGGAGATCTGACCACAGGAGCAACACGGACCACCTAGCCCAGACCAACCTGCCTTCATCTGGTCCATAAGAGGAGGAGGAGCTGGATTACTTGGAAGACCAGTAAGCCCCAAAGCTTTGAAGACCAAATACCTCTAGTGCAGTACTACTGCAGCCATCGTGTCCTGTTTAGTACAGCCGTCTTGTGCCTACACTGATCAGTGCCGGTGCCAAACGAGAACTCCTCTGGACAAAGCAAGCATTTTATCATTCCGCAGAATTCCTTATTATACACTGTAGGTCATGTAGCTTAATATGTATTATCGAAGTTTGTAAAACAGCAACCAAAAAAAAGGCTTTTCTGATGATATGAGGTAGTCTTCCCATGCACACCCTCCTCATTTCCCATTAGAACCTGATTAGAACTCATTAGAGAAACATTTACTTGACATTAAAAATAAAGAACAATGAGACGTTAAAAATTCAACTCTTTTATTTGTTGGAGTTGAAGGTAGACAGTTTCCATTTCTGATGTATATAATTGGTCTGTTAGTGAGGCAATTTCAGATCAAAAGGCTTAACTTTACATAACTGGCCTGATCTAAACACACTACAACAGGTTAGCTCTTTGCTGTCAGTATTTGGCCAACCCATCAGAAGACTGCAACATCATCCAAGTGGTGCCGAATTCCCATCTTTCCTCTAAATGTACCTGCACTAAAGCCAGATTTGCTCAGAGAAAACTCATGCGTATTCTATTCTATCTTTTTCTATTTTTGAGGAAATGGAGAAGAGGAAAATGACAAAAACAGGAAGTCACAACAGTCAGTTGAGATGTGGCCTAGAAAGGGGTAAGGACATGCGTCACAATCCCCAAAGTGCATTCTGGGAGCTGATGCTATGGGTCACTGCCTGGAGTGCCCAACTATGAAAAGAGCAAAGGGACAGGTTGGGAATTTGAGCCATCATATACATCCAAAGGTTACCATGGCAAGTAGCAGTTTCCTGAGCCTCAGAAAACATACATACATTTCCAGTAAAATGTACAGATCAATCACTGACTATATTAATCTATGAAGTATATTGCACAGAAAAACAAAAGAAAATGAAACAAAATGCATATAAATAGTAGTTCTGAATTAAATGTACATTACATACAATAGACGCCTCCTAGCTTGAAATAAATAAATAAATAAATAACGCAAATAAAGAAAAAATATGGATCTTGTGTTCTTTCCAATGATGTGTGCCGTGATATACATAATGCATCTTCAAAAAACATGTGTGCATGTGAGGTAGAACTCAGAAAGACGCACCACAGAAGAGAGGAGCATCTGCAACAAAGAGGACTGAAAAATTATTGAAGTGAGTAAGGGCACTTAAATTAAACATGTTAAATATCAGACAGCTGTGACCAATGTCTGAAAGTGATTTAGACTTAGTTTCTGGTGACAGTCCCAAATACAGAACTCATTCTAGCCAGTGGAGTGGACTATATTAAATTGTTACAGTGCTAACAGTAATCACTTGCTCCTCACTAAGCAACATTTCTATTCACTTACATTCACCCTGTTGTTCCTCATCCAACAGACCATCACCTACAAGTTACATCTACCTACATAAGTTAAAATACAGTCAGTTAACAGTATGCTATAGTAAAAAAGAAATTCAGTGTCAGGGAAATAGACCATTTGACTGCTTGTCAAGATGCACACAATCAGAGGTGACGTAATACTAAGAAATAAGGTGGATACACCAAATGACGCTTTCTACAAGAAAGATGAGGGAAAATATTTTTAAAAAATCATTCATCTGCGTTTTGATTCAAGATGAAGTGCACTATAGACTACTGTTAAAAAAGAGAATTGGTGTAGATTCATTCACATGTCCCAAAACAATACAAAAATGCCAAATTAACAATTCAAAAAATATACTCAACATAATATTGCAGTGCTAACAATGTGGTTTTCAACTGTGTAGCAGTAGCAAAAAAAACAGCAATGAGTAAAGTACAGTCGAATCCCTCTCTTCCATCACATACATCACAGATTCACATCAAAACATACTCTCTTCTTTGCAGCAAAAATACAGTTATAATGATACAATTTCAAACCACAGTCATTTACAGTAGTATAGGGGGAGGGGAAATAAAAACAAACTGTACATTAAAAGCTCAGCTCTACAAACTAACATGAGAAGTTCCATTGGCCTAAACCCTCTCCCATCACACACACTGATGAGGAAAGGTTGATTTTTGTGTGTGTGTGTGTGTGTGTGTGTGTGTGTGTGTGTGTGTGTGTGTGTGTGTGTGTGTGTGTGTGTGTGTGTGTGTGTGTGTGTGTGTGTGTGTGTGTGTGTGTGTGTGTGTGTGTGTGTGTGTGTGTGTGTGTGTGTGTATGCGTGTATGCGTGTGTTATCTGCAGCAGGCCAGCGCACCCAGAGAGGTGTGGCTGTCTAAACTGCTGTCTGTTTCAGAGGTGATGGTGGGGTCACTGCTAGGGTCAGTGGGCTCTGTGGACATGGACGAGACATCGTTGGCCGAAGAGGAGGATGACGTGGGTTGAGGGGGGCTGTCAATCACTGCTGCACCTGTGCTGCGAAAAACACACGTCACCACATAGGTTTGATTGAAAAAACACAAAACTGCCATCGTCTGCTGAGTCACACATACAGATGAAAACAGTCATTTTACATTTCAATTCAAAGTTATCTAGAATTTGGCCAGTTGCAAATCAAATTATGTGAAGCTTAAATAACATAACATAAATTCTGGAAATATGACAACTTTGGTCCCAAAATATTTTTTATTTTATTTGAAAATAACCAGAGCTTTATAGCAATATTTCAACTTTATTAGAAAAATATGATGGCTTCCTTCTTAAAATATTCCAAATTAATTAATTCTCCAAAGACTTCACCTCTTCATGACCGTAATACACTGTACTTTAAGCTGAAATATTGAAGGTTTAAAAAAAAACAATGACTTTACATATACACATAACAATATCCAGAAGTCTAGAAATCTCAGATTTGACATAATGTTGATTGGTTTAACCTACCATCATATTTGTATTCAGATACTTTTGTACAAAATAAAAAAGTATTAACATTTGAGCGTCAGAACCCAGAACACATTCAGGCTAACATCAACCTTCTTATATCGTGTGCTTCTATTTATTTACTGGTTCATTCTTCCCAACGCTTCTTATATCCCAAAATTATAAAGATTACTCACCTAGAGGAGGAGGCTGGCCTCTTATCACACCATTTCTTTTATGCTCCTCCCACTCACTCACTTCCTTATAAATTAGCACTACAAATGACAGAACAGGAGAAGGTTAAGTGGGACAGGAGAAACAGGTAGAGATCAATGACGTGTGTAGGTGATACTCTTCTTTAAAATGTGCCTACAAAATGTATTTCATACTGCACAGTTCAATCAGCGTCATGTTTCTGACTTGGAGAGGCTCTGCGGGCGTGACCCTTTTTAAAATAAGTAAGGGGTCATTATACCAGGAAGGGGTTAGGATGAGCTCATCCTGCAGCACAACTGAAAGGGATATGTTTTTTCAATCTGAAGTCCTTGTTTGCGCCACCGAATCAGGTTCCCCACAGTGGAAAAGACTAACGGAGGGGCTTCAAAATGGATTTCAAATCATGCAACGCATCCTCTGGTAACTACAGTTATGATACAGAACTGCATATCTGCACATTTACTTGCTGTCCCACTGGATTTCTTTAGACATGGTTTATTTGTGTGCTTTTCTTGATCACGTCACTATTTGTAAACTGATAATCGTAGAGTTTAACGTTTACAGAGCTGATGAAAAAATAGCTTGGATTTATAAATGATTAAAAGTTGCATATTAACATGTTAGATGTTTAATTAACCAGCTGGTTTTGTAAATAACTTGAAACTAAAATGTATTTATCTACATATAACTATTTTCGAGGTGCAGAAACAACACTGACATCCATCAGAATAAATGTATTTGATCAGACTATTCAGAGTGAAACCTCATAGGTCATTCTTGTGCTGCTTCAGAAGCCAGAGGGTAAATAATACACCAAAAACGGACTGGGAGAAATGTTGAGTGCAGTGGGAAAGAGTCTTAGCATGATGTCCGACCTTTCCACTCCTCCACGGTATGCTCCCTCTCATCTAGCTGCTTATCAAGGATCTTTGGAATGGGCTGAGAAAGAGAAAAAGGCTTAAATGGCAGATCAGGGGCTCAAGAGTGATGCCAAATTTCCACATCAAGTGATGTAATAAAAATCACATGACTCAGTTAAGGATCAGAGATCAACTTACCGCTTCCACTTCGGCCGGGTCGTACCAAACGTTAATGTAGGGGTGCTGCAGGGCCTCATCTACGGAGATGCGCTTGGAGGCATCGATCACCAACATCTTGGATAACAGATCTCTGGCTTGGCTCGCTGAGGGGAGAAACATCCAATACATAAGAAGCTCTGCAAATAAACACAAGTCTAAAAATGTATTTGGTGAAGTAGTTCTATTAGGTCATATGACTATAGTAAATACAAAACACACTACCTTTGAGTTTGTTGTGATCAGAGTCGGCAGGGAAGAGCACATCTGGGAAGAGTTTCTCAAAGGTGTACCCAGCATAGCGTGGCCTGTTTTCTACGTACGTTCTTACTGACTGGTTCAGCTTCATTAGAAAATCCTGAGATGGAGTGCCTAGCTGCTCAATTACCTTGTTCCACTGGTCGATGTCTAAAGTGTAAACGTTAAGGAAACACATATACAGTAACACACCAGCAGCGTTCTTTGTCGTTGCAAACTCTTCTTACATTGTTCAAAAACACAAACTTAGATAACATAAATGATGCAGCCTATCACTCTTTTCCTACGCAGCTATTTTAATAAACAATCTGTCTCAGCAAGTATCAATCAATCTATTGCCCTTTATTCTCTGCTTTGGTTTAAAATAGACGAGCAATGATGGAGGTCCTGTTTCCAGGGGGGAACATTTTGGGAATGAATGAGGGGAACTCAGTTCTCTTCACACGGCATGAAGTGATGACAGTGATGAATTAATGACAGGGAAGGATACGATCAGTGCCGGGGAACAACACGCACCCCTTGATCATCTCGGCCACTATGCAGCCCACTGACCATACATCCACTGCACATGGATGTGTAGATGACAGGGAGGTGGACATGCAAACAAAATGGTGGGATAAAAATAAAAGCACAACAAGGTGAAAATGATGCACGCAGAATGGCAGTGGGAATGAAAATGGAGAACATGCAGCATCAGCAAGATATATGAGAGAAAGCAAGGCAGTGATGAAAATGAAAACTGACATGTTTAAAGCCCATGGCAGTCAGAAAGCTTCCAATAATGCATGTTAAACTGGGCTATTATAGAAAGTCCCCAAAGCCTGGCACCGCATACTGTATTCGAGCCAACATTTGACTAGAGAAATATCTGACAGTCTGCCCAGCAGGAGGCGCAGACCCTTTAGAAAAGACTGTAAAAGCGTGAAGAAATATTAAAATAGACCCAAGGATACAGTCCCTTCCCGGGAAGAGGATTTTATGGCGAACCATTTCCGCCAGTATGCAGCCCACAGACCATATGTCCACTAGTGAAGTGGAACAAAGCCGGTAAGAGGTGAGAGGAATGCACAACAGGTTAGTTACACGCAGGAGGCCGGTTAGTGAGCAGTTTGTTAAAACAAAGTCCCATCATGTGAAGAAGCACCATGAAGCTTGTGTTAATAGCAAGACTTATCTTCAGGTGCCTGTACATGGGTTATAAAAGATCTAATACAAAAACAGTGCATTCAGTAGATGAACACTAACCATTTGCTTGGTAGCCCATGCCCAGGATAACCTCTGGGGCTCTGTAGTAGCGTGTAACCACATAAGGTGTCATCAAGAGGCCCGTGGCAGCTGTCCGAGCCAAGCCAAAGTCCAAAATCTTCAGTGTACAATCTGACTTGACAACTATGTTGCTGGGCTTCAGGTCCTACAGAGAAACACACAGCAAAGTGTGATTTCTTGTCATTTCTAAATGTTAATTTTGTCATTTACAAGCAATGACAAAAACATGCAGATGTATTGATGTACAGTATCAGCAAGTGGTGGCATGAAGCAGCATTACTTAAACAGTGATAACTTTTTGTGGGTTTTTGTAATTACAGTACCTTGTTTAAAAATCATGTTAAAACATTACCCAATAGTCAAATCCACCTGACAGCTCCTGCTCAAGATCTTTTTTGGAGATTCATCTTTTGTTTAAGCCATGTTTCTCTGCAATACAAATTTACTTTGCTTTCTAGAAGCATTTAAAGTTTACAGTTTCAAGATGAATCAAGTAATGCCACTATAAATCAAGTACTGGCATATTACACCAAGGTTTTGGGGCTATATCACTAGTTGGGAGTCGTTATGCCTTTTCATGATGAAGTGCAATTGTAAACCTCAGTCTACAACTTCTTATTGTTAATCTATATGATATCAAACGTTCACCTTCCCTTTTCAAAGTAGAGGTCAGAAGTATGTACCAGCTCATACAAACCTCAGAAAAGTAGCAAGAAATGCAGTGTTTTGTTCAAAGACATTTCATCAACAATAGTTGAAGTATAGAACGTTAATCATTTTTTATTGATGTTTTTTTTTTTAGATTTTTTATATCTCCAATTTATTTTAAAAATAGATTTGTTGGTCATTAAAATACTGCCCTTACATTTCAGTGTAAAGTGTCACAGAGGGTTTAAGAGTTCCCTTTTTTTTTTTCAGGAAACCTGCGTGGCGTTAGCCAGCTGATGCTCACCCTGTGAATTATTCCGGCGGCATGCAGGTGTTTGATGCCACACAATGTCTGATAGAGCAGATAGGACAGCCTCTCATGGTCCAGTTCCATCTGAATGACCTGGCACAGGTTAGCATCCATCAGCTCCATCACCAAGTATCTGACGGGGCAGAAACAGTTTCAGCAAACATACGAGAAGGAAATAATTCAATCACAGAAATGATACATACTGTATGCAAACGTACTGCCCTAAATACTTACACATCTGCGAAATCTTCTAATGTTTTTTGTGGGGAAAATACATTTAATAGGTGGATGATCTGCGGGTATAAAATGACATGAATCAGAACAGTGGGGTCATGTCAGTTACATAAAGTAAAGCACATACATTAAAGCATACAATCTCCATAAACATGTTGTCATTCTCAAACACCATGTCTCCCACTGGTTATGAGAGTGAATTTATTTGCAAACTTACATTTTTGTGATTGACATATTTCATTAGGACTAGCTCTCTGTACGCCCTCTTGGCATGGGTTTGATTTTGAAACGGCCGACTCAGCTTCTTGATGGCAACGTTTCGTTCCAGGTTTTGGTCATAGGCAGAGCTGAGGAACATAGTTAGCAAATCATTTTTAAAATATGGTCACAGATGTAGCATGAAAATGAGTAAACATTACAGGTTATGTATTATGACTTCAATAGTATAAACAGCTCTCCTTTTTTCATTAACAACATAAAGTACAAGTACAAAAAGAGTATTACAATTTATATAGATTCCTATTGTGATTTCATAATCATGAGTGTTCTGGTAACATATCAGTGACCTTTATTTTTGCAACCAGCTGTTGACTAAAAATGTTGACGAGGTTGCATCACTCACCAGACGATTCCCTGAGCTCCTGAGCCGATGGGTCTCAGGTTCTGGTATCGCTTGAGTACTGTAAACGTTGAGTCCCCAACATCTAGGCTGTAGAACTCTCTTTCTTTCTTGTTTTTGTTCATGGCGAGGTCTTCTATTATTTCTCTCTGTGCATCCAAAAATGTCCTCTGTGTACACAAAAACAGGGACACAATTAAATATTTGTTCCAGGACTAAACCAGCAGATGAGCAAAAAGACAGTCAAACGAAATCTCTGCTCAAAAGAAAGCAAACTAGAAGGAAAGGAGAATAGATATTGCTGAATTTCACAATTGAGGCGAGCACGTTTCCTTATCCAAGCAACTCAGCAAACACACCAGGATGGAGGATTTGAAATCATCAGCAGTGGTGGTGACAGAACAGCAGGCAACGGGAAGGTCTACTCCATCATGTGAAACACGACTCTCATAGTGACTGTCACACTGGAAAACCAAGCTAGGTGATAATTCCTTTGAGTTTGGACCCCAGCCCAGGACTCAAGCCCAGTTCTACAAGCGGGTCTTCCACAGGCACATGCTAACTGGGTCAAGTTGCACCATGCGGCTGTGAGTCCAGACCACACGCAACACAGAGACGCCACATTTCTGTGAATGATATTCCCAAACGTATTTCAAGTCAACAGAACCACCTTAAAAATCAAAAAAGGAATATTCAGCTTCCTTTTCCTTTCTTCAATTCTTATATAAGCGTAATCACCCTCCCCACTCTTTCACTCTGCCGACACTCGGTCCATATGAGGGATATAATTGCCAGAGAAAAATGAGTCAGCTCTCCTTCTGTTCTTTCAACGTCATAAAGACGTACATAACATCCGCCTCCCTCACAACATGAAAATAGACATGCCGCTTCTTTTTATTTTTCAGACAGGAAGACAATTAGGCTACCATCATCTTCGTTGGCTAGTTATGAAGGCTTGACATTGCAGCTAGTGTGCAGTGATGTGGGTGGTATAGACACTTACTTTGTAGTAAGACCATGATTATAATAATGGCTATTCAAGGTGGTAATTGAGGTCAGGTCATTGCAGGGAGGGAATCACAGGCACATTGGACCACATTAAAACCCATTGTGTTAATACCACTGCCCCTGCTGAGAAATAACTAGTATTGACGCTTAACTACATGCTGCATTGGCAAATACTGCTGAAATCAATGGCCTTCTATTAGATTGCAGTTATGTGTCAGCTGCAGTATTTATAAGGAGTGCAGCAGCCACATCAGTAGTCTCAGCAGCACCTACAGTAAGAGGTCTGGACCTCGTGGTTTGAGGATTTGAAGGCAGCGAACTGTAATACATATAGTCTCAAAATGTATCCAGCAAAAGCATAAATATGGGGAGGTCATTCCTGGAGCACACTGCTCTCTAATGACCTAAACTCTGTTTTCTATAGGCTGCTTTGCTTAATGATTTAATGAATGGTTTCAGAAGCACATACTTCAAGGACAATTCAGATCATGGCACAGGTAAACATAAACATAAATTAAACAAATTACAAAAAGTAGCTTTCTTGTTTATAAAATTAAAAAATCTAAAATTGTATGATAAGGTCTATACATATCTTATATTTACATAATTTGAATATTGTGTTCTTCCAATTTAGATGCATCCCGCAACAGCAGATGAGGAAAAACAAGAACTAATCTGAACTGCAGACGTTTATTATAATCTACCTTGTTGATACAATAGCTCCAGTCCCATTATATATGCCCAAACTGAAACAGCCATTTTCCCAGTCCACACATGAAAAGTGTCAGCAGGGCGGAGAGAGACAGAGGAAAAGCAGACCCCGCTCCTTCTCCAGGCCTATATTAACAGTGGAGCAACACTATCGACCCGTTTTTATTTTAACTCGTTGTCATCGTGTTAACCTTGGCCACACGACCCCTCTATTTCCTGTTAAAAGCAGAGATAGCTTGCAGGTAAAACACTGTAAAGACCGCAAAAAGTAGCTAATACCGTAACCTCTTGACTGCGAATACGCCAGCCGCTGCACAAGAAGACATTATTGTAGCCTTAATGACAGTCATATCGCGATATGACAGGGCCTGTTTGTGAATCAGTGCGCAGTCGGCGTATGCTAGCTTCAATCTGCACACGATATTTAAAGGCTACAACATGTACGGACACATCTCATTGTAACGATACGAAGAGTAGGCAAGTCGGATAAGTAATAAGTGAAGCTACACTGTCACAACTTTAAACAACAACACTGTGGTTAAGCAGCATGCAAATAGCGACATACGACCCTCCCCCACGGCCAAACAATGAGCACGTCTGAGGAGCAGAGGTGCGAATCCTCATCTTACCTCTGTCATCAAATGATACTATCGATCCCGCCTTAGTGTGATCTGCGGCGATATGTTCCGGACTAATTGTTTATGCCGCCGGTAAAGGATGGTTTATTCCGTTGTGCGGCTTAAAAATACATGACCTCACCAAAATTCACTTGCCTACGTTTCCATCTGGCTACAACTGACAGGCCAGGACGCGCAGTGCGCACGGGGCATGCGTCCCAGCAGTACGTCACGGATCCAGAGACACACCCACCGCCTCCTACATCCATCCTTCCTCCTTCCTTCCGCCTATCTGCCTATCTATCTATCTATCCATCCATCTATCTCTTTCCATTTTGTTTTGTCCCTTTTCCGTTTAAAACATGATACATAAGATGTTGTGTTATGCTTTTATTTGAAATGTATTGCAAAGGGCAGACATTAGCCTTACTTAAAATATAGAACTTCTTCTGCATGAGAGACATACATAATGTTATGTGAAATAAGAATTTCCCAATGAGTGAAATATGAGGCAGCATATTTATTTATTTTTACATTTCATTAAAAAAAATGTTTTCCTGGTGACAATAAAGAGAATAGCTGGAAGGGAGTGCCAATATGGTTAATGGCTCATTGAGCAAACAGGTCAACAAGGAGTTGACATTTTTTCTCTAACTAAAATTAAATGTCTTGGCAACTGACTTTGTCCACAAAATGTCTTTGCTGCAACATTTTTCACAAAGATGAATGTTACAACAGCCTATGTGTACAGGTGAAACATAAACAGCATAAAGCAAAAATAGTAAAGTATGGACACATTTGAAATGTTTAAGAATTTAAAATGGTTCCTTTCTTTCTTTCTTTGTCTGTATTATGCTAGTAATGTTGCATTAATATTCAAACTATAAATAAGAGACCTGCTTCCATGACTGATAAAGCTATTTGTTTTATGCAGACTAACAGACAACTACATCCAAGTTATAAAGGTTTTCAGATGGGATTCTTACAGTACATTTGGATGATGGTGAACAAAGGGTATATACTTTTAAATAGGCTATGATTATTTTTTGTTTTATGTCAGTATACCTGTGTTTAACAGTATCAAAAATAAATAACTGTTTAATTAAATTAATTAGAGTTTTATGTTCTTTCCCACTAGTTCCTTGGTTCGTTTATTTCCATATGGGACCAATGGGCAAAGCATAAAAGGTTTTATATCTGTTTCCAGGGTAAAAGGTGATGCTGCAGAACATATCCATTGATAAATGATTTGACATCTATTTGCATCATCAGTTCCTTGGTTAGTTTATTTCCATACTTGGACCAATGGGCAAAGCATAAAAGGTTTTATATATGTTCCCAGGATACAAAGTGATGCTGCAGTTATCATATGCATTTATTAAAGATTTGAGGGCTATTATTTGCATCATCACTGTCATCAGAGCAATATTATCTTCTTTTAGCCCTTGGATCTTATCTCCTGTCCATATTTAACTGCAGGACCATTGGTGGACTATGACATTCATTAGGGCTCTGCAGAAATCCATAGTAGTTAGGGTACCGTGTAGAGTTCATGCATCATCTTCTATACGCTACAACAACGACGGTATGCAGCATGCTCTGCGAAGGCATGTGACTAAATAAGGACATTAGGTACAATTACGTTAATTTAGCGCTGAGTAGTTTAAATTCTCCCTGCGCCCTCCTGACAGGCCTGAATGGTTGTTATTTATCCTGGTCCCTGCGCAGATACCCCGGGGCCTGCAGAAAAAAGCTGAAGGCAAGCGGCATGGATAAACCTCCCAGCACCGACTCCTGCAGCAAGACAAGGATACTACGCTTTCTTACCCCTTGTTCGAGGAGAGCCCGCAGTGTTATGATCATTGTGGGGGAGCAGCCCTATAGCAGCAGGCTACAATCCACTCGTTTGGCCGAGATCGTTCGTCCTTCTCAGGCTTCTTTGTAGCGCACCTACCACCGGAGATCCACCGCACCTTTGGGCGTCAGACAGATTAGTTAAAGCGGTGTAGCTGATCCCACGCCATCCGCTATTGGTGGCTCTGACCTGTCGCTGTCAACAGCAAAGATAAGCCAATTATGTGTTTAAAGGCGAGAAACTAAGAATAGCCCCAATTACAGCAAAAAGTTGCAGTCCTTCAGCGTGGTGCTGGTGGTCATACAGCAAATGAATTGGGCACGATGTACAGTTAATGTCATTGATGAATTACCTGGCTTCGCGGAGCTGCCTTTACTGAGAGGACGTCAAAACAGCAATGCGATGATCACAAGGATTATTTTGGATCCGTGGTGGGGGCACTGAAGATAATACGAAGGATCACACTGCTGACATAGGTTACATATCGCACCAGGTGAGGTTTCACTGAGATATCTTTCATTATCTTCCTCCTTCACACCGTGCTATTTGTTAGTTTGGTGTATTGAGGTGGGCGTATTTTTGTTTAAATGCATTTGGTATAAGATTTAAGATGGAAATTAATTAATGTCAGGCACATACCGTTGCTAAACATCTACATGACTATAATGAGGTTTACTTTTAAGAGTAACTTATAGTTTAGCCTTCATATTCAGGCCTGTGACGACAAAAATCCTCATGGTGAAATGTGTTGTTTATTAGAGGCTGCTCATGTTGTAGCTACACAAACAGCACATTGACAACATGTCCATACTATCACACTTTGTCATGGTACGTATGAACATAGGAATGTATTGTCTACTGTAGTGTGAAAAGGGCTATAGGAGACCTAGATCCTGATGAAGCATCTTGTCCCAAATTCTCAAGGATACTGTACAGCTTCACTGTTTGTGTCTGTCATCTGATTGTCTGCTTAATGGATCACTAAAGTAGATTCTATGTGACAGGCTAGCTTAACTAGCTAAATTAGCAGGAACTAGCTGTTGACTGCTCCATTAAAACCATGGTATGTGATGCATTTTAGTTCAAATTGAATAATACATCTGCATGTACACCAAATAGAAAAAAGTGTGACAACTGGTTAATAATCTGGACATCGTATTGGATTATTAGATGTTAAAGTAGTTTGTTCTAGACAGCAGTAAACATCATTCAATTGCATGAGAGATCGTCTTTATGCTCTATAATATGCTCTATAATAACATCACGTTTTAAAAGTTTTGATTTAGGGAATGCAGAGGATGTGAAAGTTTAAAGAGGTCCAACTTGAACCCAGCCACATGTTTAGGTAGATGCCATGATGTGATATGCACAGTACAGCACAGTTTCTTTATGTCCAAAAAGATTCCAGCAACACATGAGAGTTGTGTCGATAATTGCCAGGTTTCTGTGATGGTCCCTGCAGCACTGCATGGCTTCACAATAGTAGCTTTACACCTGTAGACAGACCACTTTGAGGGAGCACAGCTGCTAAAGTTTTTGCTCCACAGTGGAGAGGTGGGTGCACCTGGCACGCTTCCTACTTTTTTCTTCAATTCCTTTCTACATCATAACGATAAACCAGAATACAGGTATACAGTTACATCATTTTGTATTTCACTGATTTGAATGGCCTTGTGCACTTCTAGGAAACCTTATTACCTCCAAATTGCATTGTGGATTTTGTGTTTAGCAACACATTTAATCTTGTACAACTATCCTTGTGTTTAGTTGACACACTGGGTGTCACAAGTCGAGGGTAAATTAAGTTTAAGTGCAGGATAATCAGGCCTAAAGTAATTGGGTTGCTCGGTGTCATTGAAAGCATGTTGCTTCCTTCAGCACACTGTGGTTGGTTGTCCTATGAAATTACTGGTCTGTAACATTTAAGGAACAGGAACTACATGTATACAAAAAGTCCAATAAAAACCATGATGGTTTGGTTTAACAGCCTTTGCCATGCATTGGGAACAATCTGAATCTGTTCTCTTAGTTGTTTGAGAAAATGCAGGAAGGTTAAACCAGGAAGAAAACAGCTTGTCAGTTTTTACTAATTTTATACTCTCACACCAACACCAACACAAATATAAGACTTTTGAAACGTTCATATGTCTCTTGTATTTGAGACAGATGCCTATGGAAATATCCATAGCTTTGCTGTTATCTTACATAATCATGTCAAGTGTGGTTTGTTGTTTTGATCTGCACAGATATCAACATGCTATCTTTTAGAAAATAGTAGAATGCTTTGATCTTTAAGTATTTAATTGGTTCATCATCTAATGTGATTGGATATTAATTGAATTTACTAAATTAAATCTGAATAATAATACAAGAAAATGCCTACATTTATATAATGTAGTCAAAATAATATGTATTTTCCATGTTTCTTAATAGATGCTTCACCAAAATATGAATAATACTAAGTAAGAAAGCTTTTCTGCATTTCTTTCACAGTCTCTTCTCTGTCAGGTCAGGTGTTTTTTGTTCCTTTCCATTCTCGAATGTACAGATGTCATCATATTCGCACAGTATGTGACAACAAACTAACATGCCACCGTGACACAGTTGCCTTGGTGCCAGAAGCAAAGCTCCCTTCAGAAGTGCCTTCTTGTTAGGAGGAAAGCCTATTAGCAAATGGAAGGGGCAAGAGAGAGCAAGAGGCAGTGAGACTAATGGAGTTAGATAATCTAATCAGAGTCCAGCGCAAAGAAAGGCCTTTTTCTCAGAACTGTCTCTCATAACCGTCCCTGTAGTAGGCCAATGGCTGACCGGCTTTGACAACAACAGTAACACTATCATGAAGATAAGTTAAGATAAAGTAGAAATTTGTAATGAGGACACCCAACAAAGTATATCATGTTTTTACAAAATATACAAGACATATAAGACAATCAGCTGTAGATACTTCAATATAGAAATTGATTTTGTACATGTGTGTTTTTCATGTGTGCATGTATGTGGTACATCTTCAGGTTCGTGATTGGAATGTGTGCAGGATGAGCAGCACATTTGTGACATTAGCTGAAGTACTGGAGGCTCGAGGGGGACCTCTGCTGGAGGAGGAGGTCTGGTCCCTGCTGCTGGCCACTGCAGAGTCTTTAGTGGATGCCTCTTATAAGGGTAAATCATTTCAGATTTCTGTACGCAGTGCACACATTCATTACACGATGCCTTAATGCTATGTCCATACCATAATGTTATGGCAATGTAAAAAGACATTAACATTTAAATATATCTTGTTTAAAACTGAATTTACCGTGTATCAGCAGCATTATTATGGACTTACTACTTTTTTTTGCAGGTCAGAACAACATGTGTAGTATCATAAGCCCCACCTCTTTGCTGCTGTCAGCCACTGGTACCTTAGCATTTAAGAATTGTGGCCTATCAGAGGATGTTTCCACCTTCACCGCTCCAGAGATGCTGCAGGGCCGTGCCAGCTCAACCAAACCTGCTGTAGAGAGGGTCAGTGGTTACATCCTCATACCTGTCCTAATAGCTCACATGGAAGTTGATGGCAGACTTGGTAAACACACAATAGTATAAGTTCATATAGGGGTTTATTTCAATCATATACTACTACTGTCATATACTTATGTGGGTTTCCTTTGAGGGTAAAATATCAGGATGTCAGGATTTGAAGGACAGCTGATGTGTGAGCCTGCCATCTAGTGGCTGAGCAAAGAAACTGCAGCTCTGAATTTAAACCTTCATTTATTGACATTGGGTAGAAAAACCCTAAAGTAACACTTAATAATCATATTTGAGAATGTTTTAACATTAAGGAAGGATTTCAAATATATGTGTTCTTATCTCACACACATCTTCAGGTAGTCTGCCTATGTTACATTTATAAAAGCCTTCAATAGTGAAGCACTTGTGTTTGAAAGCAGCAGGACATGTCTCCCACTGGATAATTTAAAACAACATGTACTGTGCCATCACAATCATTGTTGCCTTTCACTTTACTGAGCCATTTCTAGAAACTTCAAACAGTGGTTTATTATAATTTTTTCGATCACATTTGAATAATTAGATCTTTCAGACATCCCATTTAAACTATTTTAACATGTTCAACTGGTGTTGTCATTAACCAATTACTTTTGTCGTGCAGATGCTGGTGTATTCACTGGGTATGACTCTCTACTGGTCGGTTGATTTTCACCTACCTCAAAATCAGGTGGGTCATTCACAGCTGTCATCTTTATTCCACACCACTACTCCTCAGCCATATATTCTAATCACTCTCTCCTCTCATGCGTCTCAGCCGGTCCAGTTGAGTGACCACCTGAACAGCCTCCTGCTCAGCATGTGTGAGGAACTGGCCCACCGCAGGTTGAACCTCATCTCCATCCTGGAAGCCTGCGAGTCTCAGCACAAAACCAACATCCTGCCGCCACCCCCCACAGTCATCCGACAGCTGGTGGAGGAAGTTTTTCACGAATCAGTGAGTCTAGATACCTTTATTACATGTTCCTATCTGTAAGATTTCAGCATCATTTGAATGGCTAATGTGTATAATTTCCTCCAGATGGACCATGGCTCTCTGCCAGACAGTCAGGTCCCTTTGAGTGGCAGGAGCCAGATGATCAGAGAGAGACTTCATGGTGAGCATGCATGTTTAAGTCCTGTAAATGCACACAAGCATCATATCATCATACAAGAGGAGAACACTTAATGAGCATAGGCATGACACTGTACATTATTTTTTAATAAGGGCTTTTGACAAACAGGCATACCTTCTTTACCCATCTGTACATAAGTGAGTTGGAAAATCCTTCCGATTTAAAATGTATCTCGGAACGTGATAATTCAATTGTGTGGTATGGCACAGGAAAACCCTATTCTGATCTATTTCCTTGATTCATTTTGAAATTATGAATAAATTGTACCTTTTTAAATATTGTATGCAAAGTAGTTTCGGGTCACTGCTCTTTTGACCCAAGGCAATGTACAGGTCAACAGGATTAAAATCTTAATCTAAAGCAAGGCCAGGATTAGTCTCCTGCGAGAGCCAATAATCAGAGACAGAGTGTGGATGCTTGCTGGTGTAACCCTGTGCAAGCCTCACTTCTGTCCCAACATCCTATTGTCTCCTGGGAGCACAGAGACGGACATGAATCAAACATTACTGTCATCTTTTATCTTTTACCGTGCTGACAGGAAAGAAAGGGCCACTTTCAGACTTCAGCGAAGGGAGTGCTGAAGGGAGAAGATACTCAACGGACTCTGACTCAAAGTCAGGTAAGGAAAATCATTTTAAAGAATTTGTCTTGTGTCCACTTAACAAAACCCCTAATCCTGGTTGTGGATGTAATCCTCGATTAACAGACAAGTTGTTCTTCTACTTGAATGTGTGTTCCAGCCGTAATTGTTTGTTTTGACAGTGCAAATGCTCTTTTCCAGTTAATTTACCTCAGAGACCTTGGAGACAAAGACCAAGGAGCTCTCCCACACCGCTGTACCAGTCTTCTTTAGAAAGGTATGTAATCTATGCGTTCTTACATTCACATCATTAATACTGTAATTACTTAGTAAACAATTCTTCAACTATTGAAACTATCTTTGTGTGCACGTCAACACAAATAAATCCATCTGCTTCTCCTTCCGTGCTCCTTTTTATTGTCTGTAGTGCCATCAAGGGGACATGACATTGTTGAGTTTGACTTTTGCAACTTGTCTGCACATCTATTACACAATCTGTCCTTCCTCTTCCCCTCTCTCCCCTCAGACTCCCTCGTGGGGTCCGTCACAGGGACAGCAACTGCAGTTGGCTTGGTAGGAGCCCCCAACACGACTCCTCTCCCAAAATATCAGGCAGATCGCACAGTCCTTCCATCACCTTCAGCGAATCCTCCATCAGCCTGAGCCAGAGGACATCGAAGGTAAGTCCGGAATATTTTTTAGATGGTTGTTCGGTGGCATAAATGCAAGATCTTTTTTTTTGTAGAACATACATTTGTTGTGGATCTTTACAACAAGCTGCTTTTTGTAGTGTCATAGCATATACAATATTTAGTCGAAAAAAGTGCGAGTGAGGTAAAAAGTACATTTGAACAGCAGCAGATCATTAAAGATGCACAGAAGTTCTCCCTTGGATGTGTTTCTGCTTGAAGACTTCATATCAAAAATATTTGTTTTATCAGGCTTTGGGTCCTGAGTTCGTCAGAATGCCAGATGAACAACACATTGTTCTCGATCTCCCAGGATCTATTGTGGTAAATGACTGCTTCTCTTTACTCTGCTTTTGATCAATATCTATGCAAACTGCTGTTTTTTCACAATATGTTGTCCTTTCCTGCATGCTAAACTACATCTGTTGGCATAGCTGCATGATATTGTTGTACATTTATGTGCATGCATGTGAGAATGTTTTTTTTTTTATGTCCTGTGTGTGTCTGTTTGTTTGTGCGTGTCCACTACAGTCCAGAAAGGGCCGTTCGTGTTCGTCTCAGAGAGAAGTGACTGTAGTTCTGCTTAACGGGCAGTATGTGGTGGTGCGCTGTGACATTAAGTCCAGAGGAAGAGATGTGTTTGACATGGTGGTGGCTCATGCAAACTTGGTGGAACACTTCTACTTTGGTCTTGCCTTTATAGATGGTAAGCATGGCGTAGTATGTGGGTCTGTATTGATTGTACATAACAACATTCAATACAGAAATTCATTTCAAAATATCCATAGTCCAACTTGTGATATCGTGCCCTCACAATTGGCTGTTATGGATACCATATCAATTATTGACAACAGATTTTATTTTAAATAAAATCACAAAATTTATTTTAAATAAAATCTGAAAATTTGAATTTGTTATGCCTGATGTGTTGTTTCACTGAAGTTAAAAAGGCTTTTCTTTTTCATTCTGCAGATGATGAATATTTTTTCTTGGATAATGAAACAAAAATCTCCAAAATTGCACCTGACAGTTGGAGAAAAGGGCAGATTTTGTCCTTTTTGGTGTTTCTGCGAGTCAAATTTTTTGTTGATGATATGTCCTTTGTTTTGTAAGTACAGTTCTGGTGAAATGTATACAATCTATAAATAGAATTGAATAGTTGAAAATATTCAATTAACCCTTTGTCCTGTTTCCTATAGGCACAAACTGACTCGACACCAGTACTACTTACAAGTGCGTAAGGATCTCCTGGAGGACAGGCTTTACTGTAACGAGGACACTGGCTTGTTTCTGGCTGCTCTCGCTCTGCAGGCTGAGTTTGGGGATTACATGCCAGAGGTACCAACGACACAAAGATGCTTTAAATACCAGCACCATCTTTGGGTTTGTGTTACATGTTTCTTTTGTGTGTCTTTCTAGCTTTATGGTAAGAATTACTACCAGCCAGAGCATTATGTGTCCAAGAGAATGCTAGAGAAGCTGGCCCTGCCCAATGTCAAGGAAGAATTGCCAAGACTACATGCAAGTCATTCCCAGATGCTTCCTGAAGAGGCAGAAACAGAGTACTTAAAGGTAACAAATGCATCCACTCACATACATGTTTCACAAGTTGCTTACCACTAAAAAAAAATTCCGTCGATCACACCGTTTAACTTCTCTAATTCTAAATGATTGCTAAAATGATTGGCTACAAGTTCAAATCTAATGCATGTAAATAAATATGTGCACCTCAGATTGTCCAGCAATTACCGGAGTATGGGGTTATGTTCCACCGTGTGGGGAGAGAGAAAAGGACAGTGGTGGGAGAGTTGGTTTTGGGAGTCTGTGCCAAAGGAATAATTGTGTACGAGATGAAGAACCACCTCCGAACCGTCACCAGACGCTTCCTCTGGAGGGAAACCGACACCATATCAACTGGGGTAAGTGCTATTTCAGTCATATTTTTGCTGTATAAGATATTACTTTGTGTGGCTCTTTTTTGTTTGTTTGTAAATGTATGGTAACTTGTGTTTTCTATATCTTTCAGCGGCGTAAATTGATCATAGAGTGTGGCGGGCCCAGTGGAAAAAAGCACAGTTTTATAACAGAAAGCTCAAAAATAGCACAGTACTTCCTGAACCTCTGCTCAGCACAGCACAAGTTTCATAGTGAGATGACGTCAAGACAACTTAACCACACTATCATACCAGGTGGATATATTTGATTTATTTATTTACTTGTCAGAAAGTTTTAGCCAAAATGACAACTAATAATTAACACCTCTGTTTCTCCAGATGAAAACATGAAGTACATGACCGTATACAGAGACCGTAACCTGAACCTGAAGCAGTTCTCCTGCTCAGAGGGCATGTTGAACCATGTGGGTTTGACACCTGGTCAACCAGACTCCCTCTCCAAGTCCTGTGAGAACCTGACTGCCAAACTGGAGGCGAGGCTGCGCCAGCAGAGGGAGATAAGGAGGGAGATGAGCAGAGAGCTGAACAAGGAGCTCACTGAAGCTGAAGACCTGGGGGACATGAAGGATCAACAGTGTTGGAGGTAGCTCTCCATTATAAGAACATTACAACATACAGTAAACAGTAAGAAAACAAATGTATAAATGCAAATGTGCACATTTGTTGCAGCACTCCAGAGCCGATTCCCAGAATGATGTCCAGTGTGTCACTACAGAAGCAGGACTCTGAAGCCTCGTTCTCCATACGTGGTAAATATGTACTTTTGTGAACACATACAGAGGGGGGAAACTTAAAAGAACTTAAAAAATTACAAATCAATCATGTTTTGTAAGGTGTATGTTCTGGTGCATAGAGACATTTGTATAATTCTGATTCGGAACCGGTTTACAGTACACAACCCTACTCTTTACTAGACTTTTGTCCTGACCCTAAATATAATAATCACATGTGATTTGCAGTTGATACACCAACGAGGACCCCACCAGAGAGAGAGATAGTCTGTGTGACCCTGAAGAAAGATCCCAAACTGGGCTTTGGTGAGTTTATTAAGGTGGACTAAGCTGTGAACTTCATCTAAAATAAACAAATACTACAGGAGACTTTTGTCTTTGTTTCAGGCTTTGTGATAGTGGGCGAGGACAATACAGGAAAACTGGACCTCGGGATCTTCATTGCTTCCGTTGTGTCGGATGGCCCTGCGGACAAAGATGGACGAATAAAACCTGGTACGACAACATACAACAACACCTTATTAAGAGACAAATGGGCTGCAGGTAACAACCTATAACAAAGATTTTGATATATGTTTTTTCCAGGTGGACGTCTCATCTCCCTCAACAAGACAAGTTTGGAAGGAGTGACATTCACTGACGCTGCTGCCATCCTACAGAGCTGCCCAGACGAGGTGGAGCTCATTGTGTCCCAGCCTAAATGTAAGATCGTCTCTATCTCTGATTTCTCTTCTTTCATTTCATTTCATTTCAAACCTTTATTTAAGCAGGTGAATCCCATTGAGATCATCGATCTCTTTTTCAAGGGAGACCTGCTGCAAGTAGGTTCAACAACAGAAAAACAAAAAGGACATCATACAGCATGCTATCCAACATTTGTATAGTAGTGACACTTTATTCAGTGTACTAAGGTATTTTACCCCACCTGCTTGTTGTCAGACTCTCTAAAGGACAGAAGGGGTTCATTTAGTCAAAGTACCCTGGGTTTGGCGCTGGAGAGGGGCTTTGGGTCACAGAGCACACTGTGCAGCGCAGATTTTCGTCCCGTTGTGGAGGAACTGGAGGAAGCCATCTCTCTGTCCAACACGGCAACCACCAGACAGAGCAGGAGGCTTCACATTCCTGTGGTGCGAATACATGACGCCAAGGTTAGACATGAATGTCTCTGTTTCCATGGAAGCTAAGATCTCAACATGAAGTCAAAGCCGATAAAATATTTCAACCAGAGCTAATTGTTAAACTGATTAATTGCTTTGTTAAGTTTCCTGAAAACCCACCTTTATCTTTTCCTAATGTATCCATTTCTCAATCAAACGTTTGTTTTTTTCAGGATGTGTGTTCGAGGTCTCCCTCTATCATAAGTTTAAGAAATGGCGAGCGCTTTGTAGTGGAGCTGAAGAAAAGCAACGGTAGTCTTGGCATCAGTGTTGCAGTGAGTCAATGTTTTTTTCTTTAATTGTACAGCATTTGTTTTATACCTAGGTTCACCTAGCTAAAACTAATGCAGTCTAATACAATAGTCCTGCTATAAAAATATTTATAGGCAACAAGCTGCAATGCACAGTAACTGTGAGCCCTTTACGCTGAGTCAGTGTATGTTTCTCGGGTTATTTGAGGCCTGAGTCATTAACTAATTACATCTATCTTTTGCCAAAAGGGAGGAATAAACACCAATGTGCGATATGGAGGCATCTACATCAAGACTCTGGTGTCTGGAGGTGCTGCAGAGCAGGACGGGCGCATTCAGATTGGTAATCATAAAAAAAAGTCATTTCGATATGTGATCAGTACGCTTCCAGTTTGATTTTGTGCCGGATGTTCACTCAACTTATGATTAAGTGGGGGATGTAGTGGTGAAAATCATTGTCATTAATTTGCAATATGTCATCTTTAAATGTATTATTTCACAATGTTTTCCCATCCATTTGCATCATCATCAAAGGAAATGATGTAAACATAGTGAAATATATGCTACATTTAGTCCAAATGGCACCCTTTAACTTGGGGGATATCGTCATCTCCAATATTTAAACTGATTGTGGATTGAACTGGGGCCCTATAAGATGAAAGCTATAAAACCTGTATGGACATGAGTGTGCCGCTGAGGCCACTGTGCTGTGTCTGCTTGCTTCATGCTTCAGTGAGCAGGAATGATTTTAAGATTTGTCGACATGCCCAAAAACCACACGCACACACAGACCGTTTATGTTTTGATGTTGCTAATGATGATGAGATTTGTGTTTGTGCATATGACAGGTGACAGACTGCTGGAGGTTGATGGGTCCAACCTGAGGGGCGTGACTCACCCCCAAGCTGTCGAGTGCCTGAAGAGGACTGGGGAGGTATACACACACACACACACACACACACACACACACACACACACACACACACACACACACACACACACACACACACACACACACACATTGCACACATGGCCCAGAGGTGACTGTGAGTCATCTGACAGCTACATTGTGGTTGCTGTCAGAGTCATCCAGGGCTGACGGTCCCTCAGTCCCCCAAGACAGCCTGCACTGAAACCTTGAAGCTGCCTGTTCCCTGCCTGAGATCAGTTAAAGGGACAGTTCTCAACCCCAACAAAACCTTCCTTGTGAGGCAACATTTGTTTTAAAAAAAAAAAGCATTCTTGCTTGTTCAGATTTGGCAGTGGAGAAAAATAAATAATTCTCATAGGGACATATGCGTGTCAGGGAGGATTAACCAACATTGTTTTTTTACACAATCTACCAAATTGCAGACCACAACACAGATTAAAGGTTACACAACACACGTTAATGCTCCAAGATTCCCCTCTGTCTCCTCTTTTTCCTAGAAAATATGCATGAAGTGGTGCTGAAGAAGAGTTTGTCTGGCCTCGGCTTTAGCTTTAACATCTCACATATGCACTCGGGGCCAGACCGGGGCAGCGTGGTCCGCATCAAACGTCTGTTCCCGGGTCAACCAGCGCTAGAGAGCGGCCTGCTGCGAGCTGGAGACGTCATTCTGTCTGTCAACAAAGAGCCTGTGAAAGACCTCTCTTACCAGGTAGGGTTTGGGGTATTTTTATTTCTTTTATTTGTTTTAATATATATTTGTATTCAGATTTAGCATTGTATTACATAACAGTACAAACAATGGGTGGGTGACAACAGCGAGGGTGATGCAAACAATAGCAAAAAAAAGGAGAGTAAATAAATACAATAAAATAAATACATGGTCACTAGTGCATGGTAATAACATCACTAACAGCTGTAATATATACATATACGTGTATATAAATATATATATATATACATTTGAAAAATGTGTCCATGCATAAGGCACAGAGATTTCTTCAAGTTATAATGTCCTTCATTATTCTTCATAAATAAGAGTATGAGGATTGAATCAGATCAGGGTCTAATGATAGAGATATAAGAGGACAAAAATGACAGATAGAGCCAAATCAATACAGTAAATGAAAAAGATAAAATAAAATAATAAGATAAAGGGTTTGCGGTATTTAACATTATTTGTAATCCTTAGATATTCATACCATTGAATTAAAAATCTATACCCATATTCATAAATAGAGATTGTTTGTTGCAAGTTGTTTTATTGTGTTATAGTTTTTTGGGATGTAAATTTTTTAGAATAGACTGGTTTATAACGTGTTAACTACCGACACTAATGAGCGTAAGAACAGCACCATTGACCCTGCTCTTTAAGATCTGAGACACGTCATTGGTCCACTAATCCTTTAATCTGATACCAACCAAAATAGCAAGCTGGTTGCCTTAGTATTTTGTTTACTGCCAAGGAGTTACAATGGAAATAACACTGGTGCATTTTGCCATGTTACCTTAAAAATTGCACACTTTGAGTCACTCAAAAGATGTATCTTAACTTCCTACACACCTCTTTTTTAATTTTCAGAGGGTTTTGTTCCTGCTACGTGGAGCTCCATCTGAAGTTCATCTACTAATCTGCCGACCAGGTCCTGGAGTATTGTTCGATTTGGATGACAACACACTGGTGAGCTCACCCGCACCTACACATATACATAAAGAATAAAACTCCAAATGTAGACCCGGTATACTGATAAACTGTCTTACCTGTCTCTGTAGAGTCCTGCTTACTTCCGTGAGGTTCGATCTCAGTCTCTGGACATCCGACTAGGAGACGACTACAGCCAGCTCCTCAGATTTCAATATGATTCTATAATATCTGCCCAGAAGCAGGCTCCCACCCCTGAGGAGGATCTGACAGACACAGCAGAGGAAACCCCAGATCCTCCTGCAGCTCCAGCACTCCCAGAGACCCAGGAGAGTCTGGATGGTAAAGTGCAGGCACACCAGACTCCTCCGTCTCGTCCTCGCTCACCCCCGTCACCCACCTCCCCTATATCACCTCCGTCACCAGTCTCACCTGCCTCACCTGCCTCCCCAGTATCGCCTCACCCACCCGCCTCACCCATCTGTGGCTCTCCTCCAGCTCAACCAGAGGTGCAACCAACCACTGGGAAACCAGAGGAACAACAGGAAGTAGAAGCAAGGAAGCAGAACAAGGACAGAGATGAGAAAGAAGAAGTGGAGGTTGCAACGACAAAAGGCTCAACTGTGATGCTTATGGATGTCTGCCCTAAGTCTGGATCGAAATATGTATATGCAAGGTAATGTATCAGATGTAGCCACATCTAGCCATTTCTGAAACAGGATTTGATATGGGAACTGCTTTTACATCAGCAAAATCTAAATGTGTTTTTAAACGTATCAAACTCTTTAGAAGGATGATCTAAATAATCCAATTCACCAGAATATTTGAATCATTTTGGACAAACTTATTGAACGTAAATCCTGATACATTTTCGACATTTGATTAGGTTCAGCTTATTTTGTTAGAATTTGAAAAAGCAGGGTACAACAGAAAAAAAACACAGTTTTTACACAGTGAAGCCTGAAATGCGTGAATGAACAGCCATCAACAGCAATCAACTTCAAAAGCTAACAAGAAATACTGTATGTCATTATAATAACAATCAAATGATACATTTTAGAATATTAACGTTTTATACAGCTTTAGAGAAGAAACTTTGTTTTAAAGTTATTCTATCTACTGTCTGTTTATCTGCAGTGGAGTCAGAGAGGATGCTGATGGCAGTGTAACCTACTGCCTGATGGGAAATGGACTGACTATCATGGCAGATGAAGAGTACCTGACGATCAGCTCCACAATGGAGAACCTTCGCAGCCCCCCTTCCAATGTGTCCACTCAGACTCCATCATCCAACGTCAAAGACCTCCACCCTCGAACCTCTGACAGGACTTCTAGTTTCAGCTCTCACGATCCCACCCTCGCTCCTAACCTGCCCACGACCACCGTCTCGCCCCTCAGCCTCTCGTCTGACTCCCCGACCACTCTCTCCCTGGCCCACCCATCCCCACCTCTCACCACACAGCCACCGAAAGCCAAGCACCACCCGATCCAGCAGGGTCTGCTTTCAAGTCACTACAAAGCCGTCGGCAAGAATAGTCGGCCTCTGGTGTCCCCACCCCAGCCTCTGCCTGCAACCTCGACCCCCATCACAGCGCAGGTCGGCCCCTCTGTGCCTCCCTGTGCCAGCCCACCTGCCCCGACACCGCTGCCCGCCCAGAGCCACACACAGCATAGGGAAGAGCCCGAGAAGAGAGAGAGGGAATACAAGGATTACGATTACGAGGAGAGTGAGGAAGAGGAGGCAGAGAATCGGAGAAAGGTACGTTTGGGAGGTTTTGTTTTCTTGGCTTACTTTTCCTAAATGACAACCATTTAAAAAGGATTCCAAAACGTTTGGTGAATGATAGGTTTAGGCATGGCGTAATGAACCAATAATTAATATGTGCTTGTTATTTGGCTTCAAACTAATAATAAACAAAGGTCCTCAGTGTTAATTTAGGATAAAACATGTATAATATCAACCAGAACATTCTCAATGTGTTCTACATACAACATTTGAATTGTTAAGTAACTATATAACCATGATAAACAAACAAGACATCTACTGTTAATATTAATACAGGATTTTAAGCTATTTCTATATACTGTATGTCCACATGTATAGAAAAAGTCAATGTTAATCATACATGTCACTTGTCTACTTAATCAATGCTAGACAAATAGCTACAGTATATGTTGCAATATGATTGACTGTAAGAAAAGACCATATCAAATATGTTTCACCTTGTTTGTATCATAGTTATTCATCTTGCACTCTCTTCTCTGCATAATAATTGTACAGCACATGTTATGGTGAGAAATATGTGGTTGAGTTAAAGTTAAAGCTTAAACAACAAGTATTAAATATTATGTCTTGGAGAAAATGTATAGCTATTAAACAGATATATTGATATTTGTTTTGCCTGTCTCAGTGCTTTGTTAAAGAGTTTGAGCTGTCAGTGGATCTGACCAAGTCGAGGAATGGAAGCTTTGGGTTCACCATCACTCGAAGCAAGCTGGACAACTGCTACTACATCCAGGAAATACTGGACAACCCAGCAAAGTCAGATGGACGACTCCGGGCGGGAGACAGGCTCATCACAGTACGCGCAAACACACACACACATCCGTACATTTCTGCAAGTAAAACAAAAAAGCAGAATTTGTGCTGTACAGATGACAACTTTTCATATGTTTTCCAGGTAAACAGACATGATGTAACCAGTGTGGCAGATGATGTTGCCATGACAATTCTCAGGTCAACTCCGAGAAGACTGAGCATGACTGTGGGGAGAGCTGTGACCAACCTGGTGGCCCCGCCGTCCTGCGACAGCCTGCCTGATGTAGTTATCTACAAGACCACCTCAGGACAGCTGGGTATGTAATTTGACACATTTTAAAGACACAGTATTAATTGATTGTATGTACTGAATGTGTGTGTGCCTTCTCCAGGTATAAAGCTGACAGGAGGCATCGGCAGCAAATGGCAGGGCATCTACTGTCTGCAGGTGGTGCCAGGCTCCCCAGCCAGCGAGGAGGGCAGCGTCCAACCCAATGACAAGATCCTCTATATCTGTGGCAGGTGCACCCTGGGAATGACCCTGGAGGACGCAGTCAAAGCCTGTGAGATCGCCCCTCGTAAAGTCAAGCTTAAAATCATCAGGTATGCACCCTTAACAGGCTAGAGAGACCCTGAAGTGGGTTTGTTTTTACTTCCTTGAATGACTCTACTGTTTGTGTGTTTTACAGAGAAGACCAGCCCTTGAACCCCAAGGCTAAGTGGAACGGTAAGGGCTTCTGAAGGATTTATGGGAAGGGGACACCTGCTTGAGTTAATCCAGGAACACATAAACAAGATATTTTGGTTGTTATATGCTCCGATGGATTGCCTAGAAACCAGATATGTTTGTGCTCAACTGAACAATGATAATCTAGGTTCAATCATTACCAGACAGTGTTGTGAATTCAGGAAATGTTAGTTACTAGACATTATAATTAGCGGTTTCCTTGTATAATATGTGCTGCTTGCTTTCTATATGTTCACATATGGGGTTTTCTTCTGTAGGTCTGTTTGACTGGAAAAAGGAAAAGAAGTTCTTAGCTCGTTTCGAAGAGCCCGTCTCTCCAGAGAAAGAGTCTCCTTCCGAAGATGGTCAGTTTTTTTGTCCTCCGATATCTCGCATGTTCTATCATCACAATAATTGGTTCCCTTTCACTCTTTTGCTTGTTGCTCCTTTGTCTGTGTGAAGCTGGAGCTCGGTGCTGAAAGATAGTTCACTTTGCAGCTGTGTGTGTGTGTGAGTCTGATCCGAACGCTGACAGACAGATCCTGGCTCTCACAGCAGGATTAATAATTAGCAAGCCTCAGGCCCTCCACTGGGGTATTGAACAGCAGGACTGCAGCCATCACACACACACACACGCACACACGCACACACACACACACACACACACACACACACACACACACACACACACACACACACACACACACACACACACACACATACCTGCCATACAGACAGTGGTCTACAGGGCAGGTAGCTCAGTTGCCTGGTGACGGTGCATGCAGTGGTAAGGGACAGTGCAGAGGGTCAGTCTGAAAAGACCAGCCTTGTTCACCTGTCATAGAGGAGACATACCCATCAACACCTCTCTTCCAAAATGGCCGAAGAGGTGGGAGGTTGGTGTGTGTTGCTTTTTTCTGTGTGTCTGTGACAGATATTTCATTGGCGGAAAACGGTCGCATGAATGGAAATTGGTACAGAGGGGAAGTTCCAGTGTTGGCTCAGGGCCCAAAATACTTTGTTACAATATTTATAATTTTCATAGCTTTTAATTGTTGATCGATATTACATGTATCCATTATTGTTAAGATAATATATAGGGTTGTTTGTTGGCTGATTCATTGATTACATTTGTTTTATTTTTTTCAGCCGAACCTGTGTCTAGATCTTCTGGAAATTACAGATGTCAATCTATCACACAGGAACATGATGTAAGTTTGTTAACATATTCTTTTTATTTTTATAAAAGCTTGTTCTTTATGTGGAAATTTTTTACTTTTGTCCACTCTTTTACTCCTCTTTTTGAAGTGTGTGTTGAAACACACACTGTAACATGAGTCTACTGTCTGTCAATCTGTGAATGCATTCTCTGCTGGGGGGGTCTGTGTGTGTGTGTGTGTGTGTGTGTGTGTGTGTGTGTGTGTGTGTGTGTGTGTGTGTGTGTGTGTGTGTGTGTGTGTGTGTGTGTGAGGCATGTGTTACACCTGAGTCATCTAAAAGCATGGCATTTTTCTGCGGAAAATGCTTCTGAAATTACGATGGAAGAAAGTTACTGATTCTTTCTCCTCCTTTACTCCACTGGTTCCTTTTAGAATTGCATCATGCAGGTGGAGTTGAAAAAACCAGAAGGAGGAGGCCTTGGCTTTGCTTTGATCGGGGGAACCAATGGCAGCATGCTCAGAGTGAGAGAAAACTGCTCTGGTGGAGTCGCTGAGCAGGATGGTCGTCTGAGAGTGGGAGATATTCTTTTAGAGGTAACAGCCTATCATACACCTTGACTGTTTTATTACCCCTGTAGTGGAAAAACAAAAACATATCTTCACAATTTGTGTTCTAGGTGAACGGTGTGATTGTGTCCGGGCTCAGCCACAGTAAGGTGGTGGATATTCTGCGCAAAGCTGAAGGCTCTGTACAGCTCACAATCTGCAGAGACAGGCCTCTGACCTACTGCGAGTCCCCGACACCGCCCAGCATGTCTGCTAAGGAAGCTGTTTTAGCCGAGCAGCCGGCTGCTGTCCCCAGCCATGGCAGCTGTTCCTCTCCTGACATCATGCTGAGAAAACCAGTGGAGCGCCCGCCTGGTACAACTACTTTTCCCTTTATAGTGGATTTTTAGATTGATAATAGTACTAGAAAAAAGAGCAGAGGGTGCTACTAATCTTACTTCACTGCGCTAAGATTCAATCATATAGGGAGGCGTGTGGTGCAGTGGGTAGTGCGTTGGTGTTGGGATCAGGGGGTCACAGGTTCAAACCCCACTGCAGTCAGCATGTCGTTGTGTCCCTGGGCAAGACACTTCACCCTAAGTTGTTCCTGTGGGGATTGCCCACAGTATTGAGTATGTAAGTCGCTTTGGATAAAAGCGTCTAACAAGTGACATGTAATGTAATGTTTTGATCTGGTTTAATCAAATTAGATGAAAACAAGTTTCTGACTTAATGCAAATGCTGTGTCTTTTAAATGCATTCACTGAATTGTATAATTGGCGTTCGACTTGCAATTTAAAAGTAATTTGTGTTGTTCCAGAGGCCACATCAGACCCTTTGGTCAATGAAGCTCGTGTTTTCGTTGCCTCATCGCCTCCTCCACCACGCAGACTGACCATCGTAACTGATGGCATTACAATTATACCGGTAACATGCATAAGTACAATAACTGTAGTGCAGCTATAATGATGTAAAGTTATTTGAACCTTAAAAAAAGCCACCTCCTTACCTCTTTACTAACATCTACTACTAACATCTTGCTCCTCCTGTCTGTTCCCTCCTCTGGCTGCTTGTCTGTGGAGCAGGAGAGCTGTAACAATAGCCCTTCTCATCAAGCCTGCTGCCCACCCCTCAATGTCACTGACATGTTGCATGGAGCTTCTGACAGGTAGTACATTCCTTTTTTTGTCTACTTATTTCTTCACCCTCCTCCTCCTCCCCCTTCTGCTTCTTTTGTTTTGTTCTCCTAGAGTTCCAGTGTTAACCACAGGGAGGCAACAGAGAGCAATAAATAAACCAGCCCCGTGCGATAAATGCTGCTCCTTATGGAGTGAACCCCAAACAAAGAATACCAAAAGAAATAGAGAAATAGAGTAACAGTTAGGAAGTGTATAGTACTATTCCCTGTAGCCTCACCACAGGAAGTATGGCAGAAGTATAAAGATATTTTAGCCTTTTGTCTATACTGTATTTTAGGTGGAAAAGACGCAGGGAAAGGAAGCTCAGCCTTGCATGATTTCATCCCCTCCTACCGAAGAGTAAAAATGGTCTGGTCTCACCCCTGCCCCCTGACTCCCCCAGGAAACAAATTGTGACCAAACTTTTGGACCGGTCCTGCAAAGACATCCGGAAAAAACAGTCAGACGGCTGGAGCAGCGAAGAGGAAGATGATGATGTGTTTGACGAAACGTGTCGAGAAACCACACCCCAAACAGGTGTATATTCCTCTACTCCTGTGATGATGGTCCCAGTCTAAATTTGTATCTGTGTTATCAGCAACTCTTTTTTTTCTTTTTTTCTTGGTTTGTTTCCTCAGGCCCACCCATAGTCTCAGAGGACGAACTAGCCAGTTTAGCTCTCATTAGCCCCTCGAGGACCAGTCAGTATTCAGGCTGCAGAGTCAAATCCCTCATCCATATTCTGCAGCATCAACTGGACCAGCAGGAACTGGTCAAAGAGTTCATGGTGTGTAAGATGTTATAGACAATATAGTTAATGTACAATGTATTTACCAATCTGTGTAATTCAAAGTTGTAAAATGTTACGGGTATAATAACACGCTGTCTAGTTAATGTGCCATTTAACCTTTTCCCTAATGGATCTTGCCATAAGAACTATACAAGCAGGACTTTAAAATGTGAACTGCACTTTGAGAAAATTAGCTAAATCTAAATGTGCAGACACACATAGACACTCATTATCAAAACATTGCAGTTTTAAGCTATTTGTATTGCCAGACATACTATGATCCAGCAGCACTATTCAGAGTTGTAACGCTTTATTAACGTTGCTCATTTCAGACTCTGGAGCATCTGAAGCCTTCTGACAACTGTCTGGTTGGAAAAGCTCCTGAGAACAGAGATAAGAACCGCTACAGAGACATCCTACCCTGTAAGTTTGAAAAACGGCTTCTGTTAACTTTGACTTTCTGCTGGTAGAACCTACACTTTTCCTTTCTCCATTTGTTCAATCCTCTGCGCTTCATTTTATGTCCCCCTGTTGGAGTTTTTTATTGTGGAGCTGAACTTGTAAAAGCTAGATACTCGCAGGCTTTGCATTTATAGGAGAGCCTGTTTGTTAGCACTTTTCTTCACTACTCAGTTTAAGCTGATTGTACAGTCTTTAATGAAGGGAGGGTAGATGTTTGTTTACAACACTTGGCTGTGCAACAAATCATTTCCCGCGTAAGTATCAATAATTCACTGGAGCCGCACTTATAATCTCCTCGGAGTCAGCCAAGTATGTGATGATGAAGATGATGCCATTCCTTGGCAACCTTGTAATTATCTGAGATTTATATTTTTAATAAATGAAGCTGCATCGTGAAACATAAAATTACAAGCTGTTTTATTAATATGAATTTCAGGGTGTAAATACAGAGGGACAGAATGAAAGGCAAAATGTCCCCAAAGACAAGAAAAAAGTGCATGTCTGTGAAAAAGCTGCAAAACCAACACATGCTCAAATGCACCAAACACATAAAGAAGTGTTCACTTCCCTATCCCTTAGTGTTTTAAGGTGAAAGGTTCAGAGTTTAAATGAATGAGCGGGATGAAAAGGATAAAGAGACCTAGAGGAATACCACAGTATAGCTTACAAAAAGGTCTTGTTGCTTGCAGCCTGTTATAACTGATGTTTGTCCAAAGAAATACCAACTATTTACCAATCTAATAATTTACTTGTAGCCTTTAACTAGCTGATTTGGTCTCCAGTCTGTGTTTTTTTTTATCTGACAAGCAGGAGGTGGAGGACCAATGCAGAAAATATTCCTAACTGCCTTCCTTCTATCACCCCTCTCATCACCAAAAAACTTCTTCACAGCGCTGGTTTGTTGCACTCAACTCCAGACCCCAAAGCTGTTTACTTGGCTTTATTTACTGTAGACTTATATTGCGTGCTTTTGGCTAAACAACAAAATAGCAGTGTTTGTTGTTTGCGACCGAGAAATGGATGGATTTGTTAAAGATCAAGAAAACATTCCTAATGTTGTTGTTACGTTTGTGGGGAGATGCTGCTGGAGGTCTAATTAGTGTATTTGAATTATGAATTGATATAGCGATTCATGTTCACAAACAGCACACAGACAGTTCAGGATTTTTTTTTTTGACTTTCTCTTCCTCTGCATAGATGACGAAACCCGTGTTGCCATTGGAGACAAGCAGGACTACATCAACGCCAGCTACATCCGCATGAAAGTTGGCGAAGAAGAGCTCTTCTACATCTCCTGCCAGGGCCCTCTGCCTACCACAGTGCCAGCTTTCTGGCAGATGATCTGGGAAAACAAGTCTGACGTCATCGCCATGATGACCCAGGAAGTAGAACGGGGACGGGTCAAATGTCACAAGTACTGTCCAGAGAAGCTTTCCGTGCCTCTGGACACAGGCAGGTACCAGCTTCACCTGGACAACCAACAGTACCTGGAGCACTTCCACATCAAGATCATCCGCATGGTGGAGACAGAGGTAAAGGATTTGTGAGGGAAACCTGCATGCCTGTCTAATATTATGGTTTATACTTAAATGTAAAATTCAGCTTGAAGGCAAACAATTTTGTAAGTATTTTTGTTCTTCCAGACCGGGGAGACACATTTTGTCCGTCACCTGAAGTTCACACACTGGCCTGACCACGGAGTGCCGAAAAGCTCTGAGCAGCTGGTCCGTTTCATCCGCTACATGAGGGCGGTGCACCAGAAGGGACCGGTCACTGTGCACTGCAGCGCCGGCATCGGACGCACAGGAGTTCTGATCTGCACTGACGTTATCCTCAGCCTCATTGAGAACGATCTGCCTGTGAGTGAAAGCCCTTTTGTTAGGTTAACTAATTACAGTTTATTTGTACACATGCTAGTGGCAATATGGTAGTTCATGACTTTGGTCCAGACTAAAATAATGAATTTAAATATTAACAGCAATCAGATGGATTGCCACAACATTGTGTACAGACTTTCAAGGTCCCAAGAGGATGGATCCTACCAACTTTGCGTATCCTCTGACCTTTTTCAGTGCCCAATCGAGTTTTCTCATTAAATCTGTCATTTGTTTTACTATTGTATGGATTGTCACATCTTGAATTATACTAACTTTGATCCCTCCTTTTTTTGTCTAGTCACAAAAATCTTTTCATTTGTCAAACCCTTTGGTTATGACCAAACATCCTACTTAATAATGACACTTAGTTTAACCTTAGCCTCACAGAGCTTGGTCGTTTTAACTTATTATAGAAATTAGAAATCAACTAAAGCAATAGACTAGTTCACACACACATGCTGTGGTTAAGCCTCACAACCCTCTGTCTCTGTCTTCAGATTAACGTGAGCGATGTCGTAAAAGAGATGAGACTCCAGCGCCATGGGATGATTCAAACCAAGGTTAGTACCAACAGAAAGGTTAGAGTTCAAAGATCAAGTTTTAAAAAAAGACAGTTTCTAAAGCGAGACCTTCCCTTTGTCTCTCATTTCAGGACCAGTACTTCTTCTGCTACAAAGTCTGGTTGGAGGTTTTACAAGGCATTTTACAGCTTCACGGCAACCAATGGCAACCGGAAAGTCCCCGAGACCACAAATTAGTTTGAATGTTTCCACCTACGGTTCACCCACCTGTAAAGCACAGACTGCGTATGAGTAACACATGCAGTCTATCAAGTTAGTTTGGTTAGCTATAATAAGAATGCGTACTCCTGTTTTGATACTTTGTGTTGAGGAGGCCGAATGTTTAGTTCCAATGACGTCAATTTTAACGTTTTTTGTTCTCTCGGTGCTGTGATTATATTCATTTAATTTAGTCACTGAGGTTGTTTTGCCTTTCCAGGCTTAGTGATTTGCCTTCTGTCTTTAGCATCTTTTTGCGTCAGTTTGTGAATTAATCTAATTTACTTTTTATCCATGTCCTTTTTTTTGCAAATTGCATTTATTTTTAATGCTTATAATGCATGGAATTTAAAACCTTAGAATATTCGCAACTTTTATCTGGCAGTTATGTCATTGAAGTGCACAAATGAACATGAGATCATCATACCACAGGGAGTATCTGTTTGAAACCTTGAGTAGCATTTGATTAAGCATTGAGTTATCATTTCATTAAGTGCATTCGTACCCTGGAGAAAAGGGCATTAGCAAAAGAACACTATTGATTTGTCAGTTCATCATCTACGGAAATGTAAAGAATCAAGTGCCTTGGAATGACTCACACCGCTTGCTCCACATTGACCTCGAGCCACTTGTCACAAGCGGTCGGGGATGGAGAGCAGGAAACGGATTTGAGAGCACCCGGGGGTGGTTAGATTGAATGTGCAGCTTTCAATCTGTTTGAGATCTGAGGTGATCCAAACCAGAGGAGGATTACATCTCACCCTTTAGTTTAATTGTAATTTAGAAACAATGTGAAGTTTGCACACCGCCTCTCAATCTGTCTTTGTTTGTGGGCCCATTTTATACAAAACACTATCACAGTAAAGTCTTACTACACATAATCACAACTTGCACATCCTGATACAGATAAAGAATTATTCAACATAACAAATCTTTGAATAAATTCATGAATTTTCAATTTACTCTAAAAATGTACAAAACGGATTTAAATAGTTAGTTGCTGGGCTTTCAGGTGTATTTTGTTATGTGACAACATCCTCTATCTGTATTCCATAGCTATTTTAATACAAATCCAGCCAAGAAAATGCAAAAAATATATATTATGAGGTTTAGAAACTTTTCATTTAGCAACTTCAGATGTATATGTGTACAAAGCAACAGAGAAGCATCTCCCAGTCACAGATCGAATTGATTTATAGCTGCTGGTTTGAACCTCAACCTTTGGATGTAACTGCTTGTAAGCTTTGTTCCTTAAGCCGCTATGACACACACAGCTCTCTTATTGCATGTAGACTCTTAAAGTAGAGAAGTCTGAGCCTGGAGTTTGGATGAATGACTTGAACATGATCAAAATGTGGAATGTAACAAAGCAATACTCTCCACGAGGAGGAGAGTTCTGAATGTCGCCTCTTACCTGAAAACATCTTCCAAACTGGAGCATGTTGGTAAGAAACATGCAGTACTGTACCTTTGCCATGAGGATGGCTACGCAGAGCCATCAGCCTCTGTCTGTGTATGCAGCATCCTTTCATCAGCGCTGGTGCGTTGGTTTACCAGCGATAGGTAGGTAACGCTCTGTTATGTGCAAGTTCATGTTCTCTTTTAGATCTTGTGGATATGTTATCTCCTTCAGATCTTGGAAAGTAATTATTCTTGAAAAAAACAAACAAGCACATTTTGCATTCATCTGTGAAAAAGCATCTTGTGCAGTCAATCAAGTGCTTATGCAATAGCATTGTGAAATGTATAATAACCCTTAATTGCACAACTGCTTATTTATGCTAAATTAATATATTGTCACTGTACCAGCCACTATGTAACCAATAACTGAGAACAATGTAATACCTCTCTCTTTCTCTCTTTAATTAAAAACTATTCTGAAACATGTTTGCATGTTATTCAACACGTCTTACTCTGAGCACGACATAACTCAAGTTGAACAACGGAACAAGAGTGAGCTTTCCCTGACGGCACACACAGAACAGAGAGCCGGAGGCGGCACTAAATCTAATTCCACTGAGCCCCCTCTCCAGTTTTACTGCAGGGTATACTCCCTCTCGGGTTTTACTGCAGGGTAAATAAGCTGGTCTCACAGGGGTCTTTGTGACAGCATGGAAACCCCTGGAAACACACTGCACGCTTCGCACACATATAAACCTGATGCTGGGGAAAGCCATGGAGCAGATTTACTCCCTCACCTCTCTCTCTCTCTCTCTCTCTCTCTCTCTCTCTCTCTCTACTCCCACTGCCCTTGGGCACTATCTCTACATCCACCCCCCTCGTAAGCAAACCCCCAGTCACCCCCCGTCCTCCCTCCTTTTTCTCCTTGCTCCCAAACTCAGACCTTGTTATTGCCGTAAGTTATGGCAGGAACGACAGCAACTCGGTTAGTCACGGCCCATTCCTATTTGCAGTTATATTATTTAACAAAAAAACTGGGCTTTGAATTTCCAACCATAAGACAAAGGAAGAATTATGGGCTGACTTAAAGGAGATATTGAAAAGTGAGGTGAAAATCTGTTGAGCGGATAATGGCTGCATAAGAGGAATTTCAACAAGGATCAGGGTGAAATATATTCAGAGTCTTACAATGTAGCAACCAGAAGCATGTAGAGAGATGGGAAAAAAGTTGGCGGGAAAGTCATTAACAGAAAGCTGTTGAGGGCGAGAAAGTGATTTAAAGTCCTGAGGAAGGTGTAGAAAAGAACTCAAATGCTCTCAGTAAATCCTCCTGCTCTCTGCTGGGCTCACAGGTTAACACAAGCCTGGTTTTTTTTCTTCTGTGTGCTGATTAAAAATAGCACTCAAATTATGTGCAGCCTCAAACCCACACACACACACAGACACACACCTACCCATCGTCCCATCCTAATCTTGGTCCCATCCACCTTCGCTGTCAGATTTCACCTTGAACATCTAACAAGCAACTGAAAGTCTGACTTGTGTTTTGTGTGAATGATTAATCAAATCCCTTGTCAGTAGTGTTTTGCTTAATCTCCATGTATTTACACACAGTAAGACACATTCATATATTAAGTATCTGCTTGTTTCTCTGCCTCGTTGAAGCTGCAGCCTGCTTACCCAGAGTGAAATATTATCACCCAAACATTTTATGGCTGAAACATTAGACTAAATGGAACAATCCACATCGTGCCAAGCCTCCCTTGCACGTTTTCCTGTTTTTCTGCCCTTCATTATAAAGACGTTGGGATCTTGCATATATTTTAAGAAAAAAATATCTGTGGGTTAACACAAGGCCTGGGTGCACACTAAACATTTGTCATAATGACTCCCCTCCCTGAGAGGTCTTTAAGGTTTAAAGAGGTTAAGTATGACCCTCCCACAGCAGGTAAGCTCAAGAGGGTTGAGAATTATTACCCTGCAGGATGCTTGCAAAACGGGCCCCGTCATAGACCATTGAGATTGTCAGAAAAACACACGGATGAACTCCAGCTCATGATTTCTGATAAGCCTGATTTCTGATAAGTATTAACTTATATGTTATATTATAATTGTAACATTTTGTTATGGTAATGTGAAATGTACCTTTAAAAGTTGCCATGAGTTAAGAAAAACACCCTTGTTTTTTGCTTTGTGATAATGCATTTTTAAGGTTAAAAGTGGACCTTAAAGTGGACCTATAAAATATATATAGGTCTAAATATTATATAGGTATATAATATCTATACCGATATAAAACATGTCTGTGAAGTTTTTTTTCAAAATACCAAACAGATCATGCATTTTAGCCATGCCTCATTTCGGTCTATTTGCTCTATTCCTGCCCTGTCTTCACAAGGGCTGATTCTGTGGCAAATGAGCTGCAGCTGACCACGCCCCCCTGCAAAGGAGGGGGGCGAGGCACAAGCGTCATGTTACCATGCTGTTACCATGCCACGCAACCTCTCATTCCCGTGATAGGTGGAGAGTTGCCCATATAGGCGGAGCACCCCGTTTCTGGCGTCAGAACAATTTCAAATCTGTATCAGTCTGTATCAGCTCCGTTGCAGCCCCGTTTTTAGAGATTTGTGTATGGAGGAAAAGAGAGAGGGTTGTGTTTTCTGACACTTGGTGAGTTCCCTGACACACCGGGGACACATATTTATTCATGTATAAAAGACGTACAAAAGTGCATTTTGCATGATAGGTCCCCTTTAACGTATCCTGCCATACCTGATTTAAATGTACTTTCCTTTTACTAATGTTATTGCCGTGCAGTCGTTTTTCATAGCTTTTTGGCTGAAAACCACTGCCTGCTTTTGCTGAAAGCAACGCTCTAACAGCCCTGAGAGTAAACCAATACAGTGAGCCTGAATAACTTCCTAAAGTTTCCCCAGATGCTTATTGTGTTACATTACAGAAACTAGTTTCTAGGAAGGGAATTGTCTTTACATTCCAAAGTTTTTTTTCTGATTGAGTTTGAGGTAGCAAAATAAATGAGCATTAATGTGTTTTCCTGAGTTGTTGTGTCCTTTGTAAGTTGACCCCACAGGCTCCTCTGTGATGACAGCCCACTGACAGAGACACAGAGAGCCATTCATCCCTCTCTGAGCAGAATGTCACTTTTGTGGCTTTCCAGGCTTTCAAAAACCACAGATTTGTCAAAGGAAGCCAATTATGATTATGGTCCTCTCTTGTATGTTCACTTGTAATTATCTTAAATCAGTTATGTAAGGGTTAGCTGGGCTCACTATTGGGTTTTGTATGGTGAACTGTAAGTGGGGTCTAGAATTACATTCAGTGGTGCTTCTTGAAAAGGATTACATTTTCCGAGACTTGTGACTTGTGACATGTGAATTTGTGTCATTTACTCTATTGTCCATCTGGTTCAAACATAAAACACAAGAAGAATCCCTTCACAACACACAGTACAGACATTATAAACAGGCTAATATATGTGTTTTTTATGCCAATGCCAATGTTAATTATATAAATGAAACAGATAAATATCATCCACGGGAGGTCCAAATGCAATAATAAAAGGTCACTTTTACGTATATTTGCATTTCCACCAAATATTAAGCATCTACTGTTAACATTTCCAGTTAAATTGAGTTACCAGGAGCATGTAAAACATGAGACAGGTTTTAATGGTAAATGAGAGAAAGATTTGTTGTGTCATTAATTTTCCCTGGCAATGTTTTACGCATGCATGCACTGAGAATAGAGTTTATGTTATTAGAGCATGATGTGGCAGCCAACTTATTCATTATTTGTGGTATTATTAATACTAGAATTAATATTCAAAGAGTGGTCCGTCCCTAACACACACTGCACAAAAGAGCAGGAAATATCCCATTAAGATGTACATTCTTAGTTATATATGTTTTAGTTTGCAAAGGTTGCTAAACAACGCACAAATCGGTCATCATTGTGAGATGCACACACTGAATGTAAAATTGCTCACTGACTGTGGTCTATAGGTCCTGATAATTTTAGGATGCAGCAAAAGGATGCATTCAGTTGCGGAGCCTTTTGTTTAAAATAAGATGTCGGCCTGCCATTGATTTGTTTTAATCACAAAGCTACATCAGAAGCATATAGCAACATATACATTAATTATACTTTTCAGAGCCTGGAGAAGTTGTGTTATATTTTCGTTGTTTGGTTTGGTTCTATGCTCAGGAGCCCATCGACAGGATGGAGGAAAGGCCTTTTCCCAGGACTGTAATTTGCTACAATTATAAATTGGCCACTCAAAGCAGCCAGAGTAAATGAACACCTTTCAATGGGCATAATCCTTGGTTTAGCATGATGTTCTGTTAAAAAATCTGCTAAATAGAGGGTGAATGAGATGCTCATGTGCTTATTTAATTATTCTTCTCTTGAAGGTGGCAGTTCAAATAAATACAAAAACAGTTGATCACGTGATGTGGATATTTGAATCAATGGTTATTAGACAGCACTAGAAAAAGTGCAGAGTGCAGCAAAAGGCTCTCTTTGTGAACTGAATGGTCTGTGTCACTGAGTGGCAAGGACGATCTTCTCTTTGTCAAACTCCCTCCTAAATCACGCGCCATATCAGAGCAAGGTTGATTAACACCTGCTTTCAATTACGTGACTTTCTCATCAGGCTCTGG